TCTCCTAACGTGACTTACACTACAATAACTGCTCGTATGCACTTGTGCATTCAAACCGACTCTCTACCTAAGAAGCAGACTAACTGTGGATTAGGGTTAAGCCACCGTTACAGTAAGGTTGTTTAAATAATATAAGAAACTAATAAGGTCTTAAATAATAGTCTAAAGTATAAATCTAATAAAAAAGCCTTTTTATTATATATAATAGTAACTTTATAGTACTCTCTTTAGTCTTTTCTTTCTATAAGAGATTTAATTTAACTTTATATTTATACTTACTTATAGTAACTATAGGCCTTATCTATTATTAATAAATAGGATATATAAGTAGAGTTAAGTAAGTTAGACTAAGTTAAATACACTAGTATTTAGAATAGAATATAAGGTTATATAACTTATAATATAATTAATAGATTACTTATTAATTACTATAATTAGAATAGTTAATAGATAGATAAATAATCTAACTATCTAAATAAATAATCTAATTATTAAAATAATAAAGTAAAAATAGAATAAATATATAAAGAAAGGGATTCTAATAAATAATTAGACTAAATCTTTATTAATTAATCTAAATAATAACTCTACTATTAAGAGATATCTTTTAATATAACTTATACTATAATAATTACTTATTAGTACTCTATACTTTTAAACTAACTCTCTTCTTAAGAAATAGACTAACTATAGATTAGGATTAAGCTACTATTATATAGTCCTTAATAATAACCCCTTAAAGGTCCTTCTATAGTATTTAAAGTAAAGACTCTCTTATACTTAGACTACTCTAGAGACTTAATAGAAGTTATCTATAGAATATAATAATAGTATCTACTTTAATATAGTATACTATATAGGAAGCCTTAATATTACTAAACTTAGTAACTATCTAGATAGCTAGATTTATATTAGCTATTAGGATAGTAAGGAGTATACTAGCACCTAGTATAACTATAGTTATATAAGTAGGAATACTTATTATATACTTTAGTTACTAGGTTTAAAGTTTAAGTCTTTATAGCTAAGCTATATAAATAGAGTAATAATTAAATAAACTAGAATACTTATACTACTAATCCTAAGCCTACTAGAGACCTTTACTAGATAGGATAGTATAGTAGAAGAAAAGAAAGTATTTAGAATAATATATATTTCCTACTAACTATATTATTAGAAACTCTAGTATAAGTATATTAATGAGGTTAAAGTTATTTATGTTTATAAGTGTTATATTTAAGCCACTTTTGATATAATAATGTATTATACTAGGAGGCTAAACTAACTAGTTTATTTGCTATCTATAGTTCGCTACTCTATCACTGGTTTTTCCTACCCATTATCAGATGGTGGCGTGTTGCGTTTGGATATGGGGGCCGCGTAGCAATGAGCAAAGCGACTCTGCAAAGGACTATGCACAGGAAAGTGGGCATCAAGCCCTGGTCCTTGACTCTGCGCATCACAGTGCTGACCGGCGACCAGCTCATTTCCGCCATCTGGCCGCTGGGGGCTGACCGCTCAGTCCTGTAGTTTGGCCCGCAGCGTCTCTCGAATGAGGCTGCTGATGCCTGGTTTTCGTTTTGGAGCTGCATGAAGCTGCATGCGGGAAAGGGTTGGCATCTCTGTTGATTGGTAGTGAGAGCGCTGTGGCTGAAAGGCGCAGGTCCCCTTGCTGGCCGGCATGCGGCTTGCAGCCGGTTGGTGCTCCGAGGGCAAAATATCTTGGCAGAGCGTCAGGGGTTTCAATAAAATGCTGCATCTCATCGTTTATGTATGTCTCGCCCTGGAATTCTTGTTCAATGCGATGCGGACGACCATGCGCCTCACGTTTTATAAAGACGTTGCCCCTTGCTCCGACCTGAGGGCGGCGTTGCGATGAATCTCGAAATCCAAAGGATCCGAATTGTAAGATATATGAATGAATAAATACACGCGAAATTGATTCCTGAAAAGATACAAATTTCAGGGTCTGAAAATGCCCGCTATTTTTGAATATGTTTTCTGCTTGCTCCTCATCTTGGCTTCGTTGGTCGCGCCTGCCTCCGCAGATGAAGGCGACGACTATGTCAATAACCTTCTCACCGATCTGGCTCCGTAAATTTCACCAAAGCAAAGGGGCACCTTCTATTTCAACCCAAGCTGACCATCTGTGCCCATCGCCCTATTTGGAGAACGCGTTGTTATGCAGTTCCTCAGTCAATCCCTCGGTCTTGCAGATTGTGTCGCGCTGGCCGTCGCCCCAATCGGCATCCTCACCATCATCATAAGCGCCATTCGTGTTGGTGGCCCAAGCTGGCTCAAGGCCATTATCGGTCGCGTGCGAGAGAATACCGCAGCAGTCGAGGCCGAGATCATGTCCTCGACGTCCAAAGAGACGTGTGAGCTGTGGAACAGAAACAGTGTGGTTCGATGCCAAGGACGCGGCAAGGTTTTGCAGTTCATCTGCCTCGTGCAAGACAAAAGAATCATCGATGGAAGCCCATACTATATTAAATTGATGAGCTTGGAAGAAGCAACGGGTGCGCCTTTGGATGACGGAGCCCACCCGACATCCACGCCGTGTTTGAGAGAAACAGGTGAGAACCTCATTCCCTTATTTTTGAGACGAGGCCTTTTAGTAATCAGTTTGAAGATGTCACTGCTTCTTCTAGGATCAAACGATGGATGTTACAGTGCCTTGGCGCCCGAGTCTGGCCTCAGTTACGCCGTCTCAATAGCCGCAGCTGCGCGCACCTTTGCCCCCCTTCTGACTCAGAAGCCAGAGCTTTGACTTCCCCAAGCTCGAGGGTTTCGGATGCTGAGAGAAAATCAGACCCCTATCTAAAGCTCAGAAACTCTAAAAGTCACCAATCAGCCGATGCACAACAACGAAGCGGCCAAACAGGGCTTGGTACGCACAGCCAACCGGCGCAGGAACCGGTCAGCAAACATCGCTTTATTGTTGTCCAAGACTGTAGCAATATTGCACCAAATCTAGCTTTAAACTGTCACGACCGACCACATCGACGGGAAATAATTTTCGTGGCAATTGGTGGAATAATCTTGCAGACCGGGGTGCTAATCTGGTGTGTCCTTTCCATTGTTAAGAAATCTCTTGCTGAAAAGCTAAAGAAGAATGACAAACCGGACAAGGTATACGCCCCAATCCTGGCAACCTTGGGCACACCCCTGTTGACGACTGGACTGTTAATATGCGGTTGGGTGGTAGAACTTAGCACCGAAGAAACCTTCTATGAAGCAGTTGAGGGCTACTCCATCTACGTTGTATGGCTCCAACAAGGAGATGCCGTCAATGATCAAGATTTTAAACCGTTTTCCATTTGTCCTATTACAAAGAGATCTTATATATCTATATCTCGTCGCAGGAATGACGCCGCGAAGACGATGCAAGACAAGGGCGGCCCGTCTCATATCAATGGCAAAGTCAACTTTGCCGCAAGAAAGGCCTGCAACATGCTGGATATGGAGTTGTGGACTATTGTCGGCTGTGTCATTGCTCTGGTTGGATTCTTCTCACAGTGTACATGTCTTGTACTTCTCAGTTTCCATTGCTCAGTTTCTTGCAATGTTCATCATGACGTGCGCCAGAGCCTTCATCAGGCGTGGCTTGGTGGTGTCACCCGTCTCAAAAATGCTACTGCCGGGCTCTGAGCTTGACTGGTTTGCCAGAAGTCTGGGGAATGAGAACCTCTGTTGGATGGATGAAGAAACATGGCACCGCTAGATTCGTGAAGATGAGGCGGCAAACACAAGTGCTGATTCACATTCTGCGGCATCTCACGGCACTATCGATCATGACGATATCACAAGCACGGAAGCTCCAATTATTCGGGATGGATATGCTCAAGATCTTCTCAGCATCCGTCGTCAGCTGGCCAAATTTTCAGGCTTTAAGGGGCCATGTTCAAAAGAATCCGTTCTACTAGCACAGGCAGTAGAAGTCGTTGCATCCGAGTTTCTAGAGCCCTAGATCGAGGAGTTTACCTGGCCATTTGAAGTCGTGATGAGCGGAAGGCTGTGCTCATTTTCGTTTCAGCTGCGATACGTGAACCAAGATGGCAAGCACGAGCAGACGACTTTGAAGCTCTGTTATCGCTGTGGCTTTCTTGCGGCGTCAATGACGACGAAGCGCTCAGAGACTCCCAATCCAATGGTGAGGACGGCTGGCTTCGTAGCCAGCGGCCAGATCGCATTGGGCTTCGACTTTACGGGCCTATGCCGGAGATGTACGCTCTCTTGCGAGACTTTCGCAATTGGTTGCCGGGGGAAGTGAGTGTATTATTCGAAGTGGAAGAGTATACTGGTCCGGTGCCAGCGTCGGAAGCCGACAAGTGCATCGGCGTGGCAAGTCATCGCGTTGTCGGTGATTATGCGAGCTACGGGGCCAAAATGAAGCAAAATCGAAGAGGGTATCGTGCCAAAGCTGTTAATATGCTAATAGTTGGCCACCGCACATGTAAAGGTGATCGAAACCGTCCGTCAGACTGGAACGCAATGCTGGAAAACTTGAGCAATAGTTGGCTGGTGCAGGATTGGATAGCAGGGAACAAAGCCCGCAGCAGCACGACGGCTTCAAAGACAGTATTTCTCGCGAACAAAACTTTTGACAGCCCAGAACATCTCTTGGCAAGACAAGTTCTTTACAGCTTTGTCAAGCTTCTGGCCAAAAAACGCGTTGTTCGACGTCAACGAGGCAGAACAGACAGGGGTGAATTCGTCGAATATCCCGAGAGCAGCTGCGAGGGCGGCACGGATTGGGCGACTTTGAAGATGAAAACGACAAGGTGACAAGCATGGCTGAAATGATAGCTGGTACTGTATTTTTGAGGCTTTCAGACGCGTTCCTGGATGTCTTGGCACCGCTGAGCATTGAGCAAGATTTAGCATCCAACTGTGGCGGGATGTTACGTCACCTGCGAGACAGACTGCGGGATTCAATTTCTAAACGGTCATGGTCAGAAGCTTGCAATGCCTTCAGGTCCCTTTTTGAAGTGGCATTGATGCTCGACGCGACCGGGGCGATGCTGGCGCCTCAAGCTTTAGCTCTCTGCCAGTACTACAGTGGGATGTTGATCTATGCAATAGATACTTATCTCAAGGAGCGCCAAAAGAAGGACTACCGGAAGCGCCAGGCAGCATACTCAAGAGCAGACGCAGAAAGATATCAGCAATTCTTTACCGAGCCGCCGGATGGTGAAGCACACCCGCCCCTTCTGCAGGGCCCATGGTCTGTATTCAGAGATCAATTCTCCATCTGGCGGACTGAGACTGGTTGTCCTGCGCCGCCTCAACATTACCGGGTGAGTGAAGAGGACCGTATCAGGTTCAAGTTTACAACAGACCATCTTCACGGCATGATGATTGACCCTAATAAGCCTATTCACCCGGGTCCTTTATCTGCCCCGAAAGACCCGAAGCGAGATGTCTTTGAGTGGACACCTTTTCATTACTACGCGGCGACATGGCCTGAAACAACGGATGGTTCAAGACCAGGTTTTATCCACTGGCGCTTGCGCATTGTTTCCAGCGTTGACATGATTGGGCTTTCGCCTCTGCATTATGCATACTCGAGAGGACGCCTGGCAGCAGCCGACCACCTCGTGTCTCTCAGCGCGGAGCCAGGTCTCGTACAAGAAGACGGTCTTTCGCCGCTTCATCTGGCCAGATTGAGCTTATCGAGTCCATGTCTAAGTCACTGGGCAAGTGGAAAAGGCATACAGGTACCTTTTTCTATTATCCAGACTACCTTGCGCAGGCGAGAGAATTTCAATGGCCGGGCCCCGGTCCACTGGGCAGCCATGCAAGGCCACGTCAAGATGGTTGAGATTCTGAAAGATGACGTCAATTTCCTAGACAAGAAAGGGTGGAATTGTTTGCACTTGGCCATTGTACACCAACGCAGTGAGTTGGTCGAGTGGCTGCTCGAGCAAGAATTGTGCGACGCCAACACGCCTGACAAGCGTCGACGTACGCCACTGCATTTGGCTGCTGAGCGAGCCGACACAGACATCTTCAAAGCGGTACTTGCGAGAGCTACCAATTTAAACGCCACAGACGCCAGAGGAGCTACGCCTCTTCGCTTGGCTACGGTGAACAATGACACCGATGCCGCCCAACTGCTTGTAACAGCGGGAGCCGACGTCAACTGCACAGATAGCACCGAGGACGATATATTCCCCCTCCAAGATTCCATGACCCCGGGATATACTCGATTTGTATATCAAGTCACGAGTTGACGTTCGGCCACACAGAGTGCTCCATGGCAGTCGTCAAGTCCGGCCACAACCAGCATTACATGCAGCCCCTATTCGGTCCTCAACATGTTGATCGTGGAATTCTCACTTTGCTACGATTGCAAGACATGTGAATATCACTTGTTAGACTTGAAGAGGAATTTTGGGGACATGAATGTGGGTGGTTGTCGACAGAGAGAGCTTGCAGTCCGTGACTGCTAAACATGCCTTCAACGGAGACCTCAAAGGCAAACTAGAACGGTCTTCTCTGCCTGATGTTAATTTTTGATCTAGCAATTAGCAAAGAGTCTCGGTACATAAGCCCGCCGTCCTTTTGCTCGTGTTTTCTTCTTGGCCAAGGAATATACAACGGTCAAACGCTAATGTCGTGCTACATAGCATTGTCAAGCATGCCCTAAATCTCGCTTACAAGCAAATCCCAAGTGAAATTGCATGAGAAGACAAGAAATTAAAAGCGCCGCATCTTTGGCTATATAGTGCCTTGGCTTATGGGCGGTGATATAGCCGTCGCGTTTCGTCAAGAGTGCTTCCTACGGGTCGGCGGATACCCTACACCTGCGTTTATTATATTGTTCATTAGCTGCATTCATGCGATAGGCTGGCAACTTGTCAGTGGCTAGCGGGCATCTCGGAAACAATGGAAATTTTGGTCCTTTTTGCTGCTCATTCGGGAAGCTGGACAAATCTGCTGGGAATACTGGTGGGCTGATACACTTGTATGTACTGTATGTAGGGCCAATTGCGTCGCTAAACCTACAGCACAGAAGCCATCCACGAACCCTCATCCCCCTCCTCGTCCAAGACAGCTTAGGCCGGCATCCCAAACCCCAAAACTCCAGGACCATCCGCTGACTATTGGCGCCTGATCTGCGTTTTCCCACCAAGCTTCGCCGACCGCGCCGAACATTGCCGGGCCCTCTACAGAACTCGCGCCGGTGCGCCACAGTAAGCGGCCGCCCACCCCCGCCCGGGGTCCCTGGAGCGGCATTCCGGGGAGCCACCAATCATCAAGTCGCCATCTAGCCCGGATAGGTAACGTTGTATGGTCCAGGGGAAGGGTCGCCTTGTATAAGTGTGCACGTTCCCCAGGGATGGTCATCGTGAGGGGGGTCAATCCTTCTCTTGGTACATTCTTTTTGCTCTCACGCCTGACCTGACCTGGGAGCTGTAAACATACCATGATCATGAAACGGAGCGCCTTGGTGTCGCTGCTCCTCGGCTGCGGCGCCGCCACAGCCGCCCGGCCCCTCCTGGCCTCCGTCGCCGGGCAAAAGACCGCCGTCCCGCGCTGGGACTTTGCCTCCACCGCGCACGTCGGCTCCGACCTGCCCAAGCTCTCAGAACCCGGCACCCTAGACACTACTGCTTCTGGGTGGCACCACGTCGAGGCCTCGCGGTGCACGCTGATGGGCTGCTTGCTGGAGAACGGGGAGCTGGACGACGACAAGCTCTGGTTCTCGGACAACCTGGCCAACTTTGACGGGGCGCAGTTCGCGGTGCCCTGGGTGTACCGCAGCGAGTTTGCCCTGCCGGCGGGGGAGAAGAAGGGGAGGCACTACTTGCTGGAGACGAACGGCATCTCGTCGAGGGCGGATATTTACTTGAATGGGAAGAAGGTGGCGGACGCGGCGGCGCAGGCGGGCGCGTACGCCGGGCACGTATACGACGTCACGGACAAGGTGGCGGGGGACAAGAATGCGCTGCTGGTGAGGGTGTATCCGACGGATTACTTGTATGATTTTGGGGTGGGATTCGTGGACTGGAACCCGTACGCGCCGGATAACGGCACCGGGATCTGGCGGGACGTGACGGTGAAGCAGACGGGTGCGGTGACCATGGGCCCGCTGAGCGTGGTCGTCGACGCGCCGCTGCCGATCGGCGAGAGCCCGGCCAAAGTCACGGTGCGGGCCCGCGCGACCAACCTGGAGAGCAAGAGCGTCGCGCTCGCAGCGACGGCCTCGTTCGCGGACCCGGACGGCAAGTCGGTCGGTGCGCCGCGGCGGGCCAACATCACGCTGGCCCCCGGCGAGTCCCGAAACGTCGAGCTCGTCCAGACCATCGCCAAGCCGCAGGTCTGGTGGCCCGCCGCCTGGGGCTCCCAGCCGCTGTACAACGTCACCCTCACCCTCTCCGTCGCCGGCTCCCTCTCCGACTCCGCCTCGTCCACGTTCGGCGTGCGCACCGTCACCTCCGCCCTCAACGCCCACAACGACACCGTCTTCTCCGTCAACGGCCACCCCTTCCCCGTCATCGGCTCCGGCTACGCCGCCGACATGTTCCTGCGGTGGGACCCGGCCCGCTTCAAGACCATCGCCGCGTACATGCTCGACATGGGGCAGAACACGATCCGCCTGGAGGGCAAGATGGAGCAGCCGGAGCTGTACGACGTGGCGGACCGGATCGGGCTGATGGTGCTGGCCGGCTGGGAGTGCTGCGACAAGTGGGAGGCGTGGGAGTACAACCATGACCTGGCGGTGGACCCCCCGCCCGTCTGGACGGACGCGGACTACGGGATTGCCAACGCGAGCATGGCGCACGAGGCGGCGGTCATGCAGGCGCACCCGAGCACGTTGGGGTGGCTGGTGGGCAGTGATTACTGGCCGGACGACCGCGCGACGGATCTCTACGCGGATGCGCTGGAGGCGGGGAGTTGGAGGGCGCCCGTGCTCGCGTCGGCGTCGAAGCGCGGCTTTCCGAAGCGGTTGGGCCCGGGCGGCATGAAGATGGACGGGCCGTACGACTGGGTGCCCCCGAGCTACTGGTTCGACACCAACGGGGACGGTAAGGGCAGGTACGGCGCGGCGTTTGGGTTCGGGTCGGAGCTGGGCGCCGGCGTGGGCACGCCGGAACTCGGCAGCTTGAAAAAGTTCCTGACCGAGAAGGACATGCAAGACCTGTGGCAGGCGCCGGACAAGGGGCTGTATCACATGTCCACCAAGGTCTCGCAGTTCTTCACGAGAAGGATCTACAACGAGGGGTTGTGGAAGAGGTTCGGGGCGCCGAGGGGGTTGGAGGATTATCTGATGAAGGCGCAGATGACGGACTACGAGGCGACGCGGGCGCAGCACGAGGCGTACGGCGCGCTGTGGAGCGCGGAGAGGCCGGCGACGGGGGTGGTGTACTGGATGCTGAACAATGCGTGGCCGAGCCTGCACTGGAACCAGTTTGACTACTACATGAGGCCGGCGGGCTCGTTCTTCGGGACCAAGACGGGCGCGCGGTCGGAGCACGTCGCGTTCGACTACGGCGGTGGAGTGTGGTTGATTGACAGATCGCTGAACGAGGGCGGGAAGAGGAGGGTGTTGGTGGACGTGCTGGATGCGAAAGGGCGGAACGTGTCGAGTCAGACGCTGGAGGCGGAGACGCGGCCGAACGCATCCAAGAAGATCGGGGCGGTCCAGGGGCTGGACAGGAAGAGGGAGGTGGTGTTTTTGCGGTTGAGGTTGATGGACGGCGACAGGACGCTGAGCAGGAACGTGTACTGGCTGGGCAGGCAGGTGGACGCGCTGGACTGGAAGAAGTCGACCTGGTACCACACACCGGTGACGCGGTACGCCGACTACACGGCGCTCGACAAGCTGGCGCCGGCCAACGTGAGCGTCACCGTCGGCGGGCGGGAGTGTAAGAGCAAGACGGAGGGGGCCACGGGGCGGTGCGTGACGCTGGAGAACAAGGCGAGCGTGCCGGCGGTGTTTGTGAGCCTAAACTTGGTGGACGAAAAGGGAGGGGACGTGCTGCCGGTGGTGTGGTCGGACAACTACGTGACGCTGTGGCCGGGCGAGCGGATGACGCTGACGGTCGGGCAGTGGGAGGGCAGGGCGGAGAGGGTAGAGGTCAAGGGGTACAATGTCAAGGCGACGAGTGTTGCGTTCAAGGGGGTGACGGTGGGCTGAGGATGATGGATGTCCGTGATGGATTTCATACATGTAAAGGTTGATGGCGGACTGAGGATGATGGATGTCTGTGATGGATATCAGTTACGTGACGGATTTCAGGTGTGTAGATGATTCTTTGCGAATACATCTTGTCCTCTCTCATTGAAAGCACATCTCTCGAGTCTATGTCAGGAGTCACCATGTTGAGCGAGATTGCATGACATACACTTCTGCCATTGCTACAGTCAGTTTGGTATTTTGACTTTGTATTGACATGACCATGCAGTATACATGACAAGAATCGTAATCCATTTCCTTCGTGGTCGTACAACCTCCCTAAACCAGGTATCGGAAGCCCTTGCGCATCTGCAGCGCCTCGTCCGGGCTGTTCAGGATCTGCACCGTGCCCGGCGTCGGCTCCGCCTCCTCCGTCTGCGCCTCGCTCTTCTCCAGCTGCTTGTTCAGGCTCACCAGCATCAGCCGCACCACCCAGCAGCCAAAGATGGTGACGCCGAACATGCTGAGCACGATGGCGTAGCTCTTGCGGTAGCCGTTCTCCTTGAGGTCCCAGACGTAGGAGCCGGCGACGTTGCCGAGCTGCGCGAAGGCGTTGATGATGGCGATGGCGACGGCGCGCTTGGCCGGCGGCCGCGGGAACGACGACGCGATCCACGAGTAGAAGACGATGTAGCCGGCGTACGAGCTGGTCTGCAGGAAGAGCGCGACGTACCGCGCGGGCACGCTGAGCGTGGACATGCAGATGACGAAGCCGACGATGCCGACGAGCATGGGCGAGACAATGTGCCAGAACTGGAGGGTCAGCGATGGGGTTCGTTAAGGGGGAGGGGGGGGCAAGAGGGGGCTTACTCGTTCTTGGGTGCGGTCAGAGTTCCAGGCGACAAAGTAGGAGACGAAGCAGGCAAAGACCCAAGGGGGGGCGCTCATGAGCAGCGTGGGGACGTAGCTGAAGCCGAGCGTCTGCGTCAAGCTGGGCTGCACGGGGGGTTAGCTGTGATGGAAATGTGTGCAGCGGAAACGGTGATGCGTACGAAAAAGGCATTAAACGACAGACCAACCACATAAGAGGTAAAGGTAAACATCATGACGTAAATCTTGACGTCCTTGAGGGCCATCTTCAGACCCTCGGTCGGCCCCAAGTTGGCGTCGGTGTCGAGCTCACCCACGTCCTCGACGATGCGCATCTGCGCCACCTGGCGCTCCTCCTCGGTGAAGCCGCGCGAGTTGTGTGGCAGGTCTGGCAGGATGAAGGCGGCCAGGATGGCAATCCCGCAGGTCGCCGCGCCCTCGATCCAGAACAGCCATCGCCACGCGGCGTGTCCCAGCACGCCGTTCATGTTGGACAAGACGCCCGCGCCGACCAGCGCCGAGAAGGCGTTGGAGATTAGGTTGCCGCAGAAGAGCAGCGCGTTGCGCTTGGTCAGCTCGCGGCGCGTGTACCACTTGGACAGGATGAGCAGCGCGCCGGGGAGGAAGGCGGCCTCGACGAAGCCGAGCAGGAAGCGGATGGCCACCATGCTGCCGAAGCCGGTGGCGTTGCCGGAGAGCGTGGAGATGACGCCCCAGGTGAGCATGGCGCCGGCGATGTAGAGGGACGGGCGGGAGATGCGGTTGATGAACATGTTGGAGGGCACCTGCATGAGGATGTAGCCGACGTAGAGGATGCTGAGGCAGGTGGCGTACTGGGTGTCGTCGAGCTTCAAATCCTCCTGCAGGCCCTTGAGGCGGGCCGCGGCCAGGTTGTTGCGGTCCAGGTAGTTCATGATGTAGATGAGGATGAAGAGCGAGCAGCGCGCGTCGAGCTTGCGCTTGAGGCTCTTCTCGACGGCGGCGCGCCGGGCGGGGTCCATGTCCGGGATGGCGACGCCGTGGGCGGCGGCGACGGCGGCGAGGGAGGGGGAGACGCCGGCGGGGAGGGGAGCGGCGGCGGCGGCGGCGGCGGCGGGGGGGGGGTCGGTGTACTCGACGTTTTCAACCTGCTGCTTCTCGTTGTCGGAGGCGCTGGTGGCGCCGGCCGGGGTGATTTTGTCGTCCATGGTGGACGGGCAGACTGTCTGTGGTATCACGGGTGTGCGGGGCTTGGTGTTTTGGTAAGCTCAGCCCACAAAGTGCACAAGTGCGAGAGGAGAGGGATGAGAGTCGAAAGAGATGGGATTGAAAACGAGGGGAAGCCGGTTCTTAACAAGGGGGCCCATGGGGAAGAAGGGCTCGACTGACTTCCCAGCGGGATTGTCCAGCTCTCTGTTTCCATGGTGTGGGAAAGGGCCGAATGGCGACGAGGTGTTGGTGCAGACGGAGCAGATGGAGCAGATGGAGCAGATGGAGCAGATGGAGCAGATGGAGCTTGACTGGAACGAGCTGGAGCTGGAGAAGTTGGTTAACTACTGGGTAGAAGTGAAGGCTGGAGCTTTCGAAGTGAAGGCTGGAGCTTGCGGGATTGCGTCCCTGTCTTCCGGGGGAACCCCCACACGCTAAACCCACAAGACACGAGTAATGAAGATGGGGGTGCGGGATCTGCTGGTCATTTTTTGTTTTTTTTTTCTCGTTACTATGCTGAACAAGCGATTCCGCGGGCACGGTTCTATTGTTCTAGTTCTATTGCCGAAATTGCCTCGCATTAAGCGGTGGCGTGTGGCGCGTGGCTTTACTGGTCAGATCTGCGTGGCTTGCGGGAGCAGGTCGAGTCTAGATAACGAGTGACACGGGGCAGAGTGGTAGCCAAAGAAGAAAAAAAAAAATGGAAGAGAAAATAAACAAAGAAAAAAAACTCCGCCAAGAAGCGGTCAATTCCCAACGACATCCAGCTCGGAACATTAACTCGTAGAAGCGAACCACCCGACGCATGATTAAAGCGGGATATGAAGGATAGGAGGATGTTGGGGCTGCCAGCTGGGGTTTGTGGGGGACTGAGAGGCGGGGTGGACAAGGTCAGGCCAGGCCAGTGCAGAGTGCAAGAAAACGAGCCATGGTACAGGGGTACGTCATTGAGCTGCATCCGCGGCCAGGAAAAAAAAAAGATGAAAAGCTACTGGAGGCATTCCTTTTGCACTCTGGAACACATCCAATTTTTTCCCTCTTTTTTAGGCCCGTTTTGCGCCAACGGCTGCTCCCCTCAGCCTCCCCGACAACCCGGCCTCCGTCGCTACGTTGCAGCGCTCTCCCCCGCTGTAATGTCGCCAAATCTGGGGCTCTGGAGAAGCAAAGGCCCGGCCGGGGCGAGCAGCACGTGCGCTGAGGATTTTGCTCAACAGTCGAGTCGGTCGTCCACTTTGCCAACGCAATAAAACTGTCACCCCGTCCGCTGTAGACCTTGCTTGGGTGGCGCCTGTCCAGCCAAGGCTGCGCTAGTTTACCGTTTCATCTTAGCAGTCTAGATGGAAGCGATGGCCTGGTCGTCGGCAATTGAGTTAGGCAGTTGGGGTGGGGGTGGTGGCCAGTCCGCCGCGGGAGAAGAAGAGATAACGGAAGACGGTTGCTGATAGTAGGGCTTGATAACGGTCTGGGGTCTCCCCGTCATTTCCAAAGGTGAATATGAAGTTTTTCATTTCGAGAAAAAAATAAAGACGAAGAAAAAGCCATGTCAAAGGTCTCGTCTCGGCAGTTCCGACATGTTACGACCGACCAGCGCACCGGGCACGACAATCATAAGCCCAGCAAGAATAAAAATATAAATAAAAATAAAAATAAAAATAAAAGCAACATCTCGCAGTATTCACACTTTTTCTTGAGCCAAGTTTCAATCTCAACGCTTTCTTCATGACGCATCTGATCCAAGTAACCATGCTCAAAAGTCCAACCCCAACCTAGCTACCCTACATAGACACCCCCTTTGACACATCCACCCTTGACACTCCCATTTTAACTCCTTATCAACTCTTCAACACCCTCCCCCTACAACTTTTTGCAGCGTGTCCTGTACACCGTCTGATCCCCCTCCTCCCCCTCCTTCCCGTCCTTCCCCTCCGCGCAAACCGGCAGCAGCGTCACCGGCACGCACTCCTTGGGCACCGCGCCCGTCGTCATCTCCACCGACAGCCCGTACGGCAGCCTCCTATCACACACCATGTACTGTCCCGGGCCCAGCATCAAGTCCCCCCTCTCCTCGATCACCCGCACGCCCTCCGTGCCGGGCCCGTACTGCAGCACCGCGCTGTTCAGGTTCGCGTCGTCCGGGCTGCGCACCGTGCGCCAGGCCAGCGCGTAACGGCCGAAGCCGACGACGACGGTGCCGCGCGCGGCCCACAGGTCCGCGTCGGTGCCGTTGGTGTGGAACGTGGAGGATTGCGAGGTGGAGGGCGAGGGCGTGACCATGTCCATGCCGGCGCCGATGTGCACGCCGACGAGGTAGCGGTTGTGGATGGGGGGCGTGAAGTCGAGGGAGGGGGAGGGCACTTGGACGAGGAGCTTGTAGAAGTCGGAGTAGGTGGGTAGGGGAGAGGCCGTGGCGAGGGCGGCGAGGGCGAGTGTGAGTAGAGCAGTCATGCTGGCTGTTTGTCGTGGTGGTAGGAAGAAGTAAGTTCGTAGTGTGTATGGTGAATGCGGTTGATGACTCAGAAGCAGGGGATCATCTTCTCTATTTATCTCTGCCGAAAGGCAAACAAAGAAAGTCCCTTCCCAGATCCCGCAGATGTCACCTTCCGTCGCGGAAGCTACGTCACAACCTCGTACCGACGATGCAAGTCCGGCGTAGGGTCTCGGTGGCCTGCCTCGGGGAGCCGGCGCGAGCCTTTTGGTCACTTCTTTTGTTAGTATAGTATGCTGTCTAGTCTCCGCAATACGAGACCGCTTTGATCGGGCTGTCTTTTGCGCCGCAGCCCTACAGCCAGACACGCAGGCTCGTTGCCCAACCCGTCGTCACATGTAGCATGGCAACAATAACATCGCTCGTTCATCTCGTCTGCCTACCACTAGCTTGTTTGCCAGTTTGCCTCGAATGTCACCATCGCCGCTCGTATCACAGAGCGAGGGGAAGTGGCAGTGGCAACAGGCCAGCGTCGCATCGGCCATTCGCACCGCCGGTCGCGGCACACGTCATGATGCTTGCTACGTGGTGATGGCCACGGAAAAAGAAGGAACAAAAAAAACTTGGACCCTTGGAAACGAGATTTCCTCGCCACTAGAAGAAAATTCATGTTTACGGGAGCCGTGTTGCCGGGATATGGCGAGAGACGACTTGTCGCACTGATCTGCGGTGTTGCCTGCGTGTCAGCCGCCAGCGTCAGAGACATGCAGCGGCCTATTATTAGCATCATCCAGACTGCTCGTACGCGACCTCACAGTGTCAACCATTTCCTTCCTGGCTGGCTGGCTGGCTGGTGGTGCCTTAGCTACCGAGTAGCATCCGGCGAGCCCGCCGAACTTCCCAAGGCCTGCCAAGTACTCGAATAGGAAGAAACAGCTTTGCATTTTAGTATTGTACCTGTGCTGGTATTTTTTCCTGGCGTTCCTGGCGATATCTTCCATCATGAACTCCTCGGCAGAGCGTATTGGTGACAAAAGTTCACAATTCATAGGGTTTGTGAAATGTCCATTCATCTTGCAAAAGAATTAAATTTACAAAGAAAGGCATCAAACCGCCCATGAGAATCAAGTCACTAACGGACGATGGTAACGCCGCTACTCACGCAGCCAGCCGCCCGCCCAGCTCCGGCCCTCAACACCACCCACCCATCCCACCAGGGCAATCGCAGCATCACCGCACCAGCCGCGCTTCTCCTCCTCCAAGCGCCCTTCCAGTCGTTACATTTCTTCCGGGCTAGCCTGCGACAAGGAAATTATTGGCGCTGAACCTCAAGGACCCCGGCAGCGGCCGCCGCCAAGACCATCAGCCGCCGCGCCGCCGGGCTGGAAAGAGGACGCTCGTACGACTTGCTGATCCTCAGCGATGCAGCTCGTGTTCGACGACGTGAGGGAGCGCAGGGAGACGTGACTCCGACTGCTGCTGCTGTGTACATGGGTTCAAGAGCGAGCCGGCAAGCTACTGGCCGCCTGAGATGTCTTGGCGAGGTGTCAGAAGAGCCCCCAAACTGTAGAGATGCTCCCTCCCCGAACAGAGGCCGCAGATCCTCAGCTGAGAACACGGTCACATCGCCGAGCGCCAACCACCACACCCATCCGTGCCGACCCTGATAGATCGGCTGAGGCTCAACGTCGGGTATGCATGGCGCGCTGAGGATCAGCGCAAGCCTGCACTAGACGGTGACCGTCCCGTAAATGCGGAGCGGAGTGTAGATGGAATTGTCGCGAGCATCGAATGTCATGACCAACGGCCGAGTGGCAAGATGGCAGCAACAATGCCGCAACGCAGGGAGCAAAGTTGAGCCTCGGCAGTCTGGACGAGGAGTTGCGGACAAGGGCCCCGAAAGGTGGTGCCGCGGGTTGCGCGGAGAGCCTCTCCATCTTGTTCAGAATGGCAGGGCGTCAATATCCGCACTTGGCCTCGTTACCCCTGAAGTCATTCTTCATTGCCACGACTTCCACATTCTTCTTTCCCTTCTCGCTCTAGGCTCGACTTGCGCAATTCCTGGTCATTGTTTATCTCACATCGTCTGCCCGCACGAGAACCGTCGTATTTGAGAAGGAATTTACATAATAATGATTAACCGAGTCGTGTCGTTCTACCCGGCTGACTCTACTTTCCCGACTCGGCCCTACGGAGCCCATCGATCTGCGCCAGAACTGGAAGGCCGGGGAACAGCAATCCCGGCTCGGCGGCACCCAGCGCCGCAGATGTGATCATGTCTGCGATAGGTCATCAACCGAGCTGGGGCACCGCATTGTTTAGAGCCCCAAGTAGCTAAGCGTGAGGAATTGGCCCGTTTTGTCTCGGAGCTTGTCCATGTGGGCGGCGCCGACCAATACCTTAGCGGCCTGCCCTATTAGGAAGGTTGCTGAGCCGGGGCTCAAATCACGCAAGTTGACTGGCAGAACGGGCAGTTTGAGCGAGTTCCTGCAGTAGAAGGAGAGAGCTTCGGACGGTCTTTGGAGATGGGCCCAGGGCACGTCCAGGGAGAGAGACCTTGATGGAGAATGCCTTGACCTGCTTCTATCGGTATAGTCAGTACCAGTCGCCAAGACGGCTTACCGGCAGTTAGCGAATATGAGCTTGAAGGGTCGGTATTCCCGTATCCCTCGCTAAATTATAAATAGCGAGATCTCTGCCAAGAGACTTGGCGATGAAACAGAGCAGTCAACGGCTTACAACTCATCCTTGCAAGAACCAACCCGTCACCAACGCCACAATGAAGTCCCTCGCCGCCCTCGCGCTCGCCGCCTCGGTCGTGGCGCTGCCCGCCGAGCCCAAGGGCCAGACCATCAGCGTGCCTATCCGCTACAACCGGAACGCCGTCCGGCCCAGCGCGTCGGACGCGCTGGCCACGGCCGCCAACAAGTACGCCGGTGCCGCCGGTGGTCTGTGGTCCAACGGCGACGGCTCCGGCACGGTCATCACCAAGCCGACCAACTCGGTGGACCGCGCGTACATCACCGAGGTCGAGATCGGCACGCCCGCGCAGAAGCTCTTCCTCGACTTCGACACAGGCTCCAGCGACCTGTGGGTGTACACCAACGACACCAAGGCCGGCATCGCCAACGGCGTCACGCTGTACCAGCCGGGCGACAGCTCGACGGCGCAGCGGTTGTCAGGCGAGACGTGGAAGATCTACTACGGCGACGGCACCTCGGCCAACGGCGTCGTCTACAGCGACGTCGTGTCCATCGGCGGCCTGGCGGTGCAGAACCAGGCGGTCGAGTCGGTCATCAGCGCCGACTCCTTCGGCATGAGCGGCCTGCTGGGCCTCGCCTACGACGTCGGCAACACGGTCAAGCCGGACCAGCAGAAGACGTGGTTCTCCAACATCAAGGACTCGCTCAAGGCGCCGGTCTTTACCGTGCGCCTCCGCCACCAGGCCGGTAAGCACCCTCGTATTCGTGCCTAGGAAGCGAAGTTGCACTAATGTCCTTGTCTTCGGCAGACGGCTCCTTCGACTTTGGCTACATCAACAGCTCGCTGTACACGGGCGACATCGTCTACGCGCCGGCCTTCACCGACAAGCTCGGCCACCGGCTCTTCGCCGTCGACGGCTACTCGGTCGGCGGCGGCTCGGTCGTGCAGACCGGCTTCAACGCGACGGCCGACACGGGCACCTCGCTGCTCATCGTCAGCAACGACGTCGCCAAGGACTACTGGTCGCAGGTCAGCGGCAGCTCCTCCCAGGACGACGGCAACGGCGGGCTCATCTTCTTCTATCCCTGCGCCTCGCTGCAGAACCTGCCCGACTTCACCCTCAGCGTCAACGGCAACACGGTCACCGTGCCGGGCAGCTTCAACACGTACCAGCGCGGCACCAGCGGCAGCTGCGAGGGCGGCATCGTGGGTGGTGGTGCTGGTGGCATGGCCATCCTGGGTGACGTCTTCCTCAAGGCCATCTTCACCGTCTTTGACGACGGCAACAACCAGGTCGGCTTCGCCCTGGGCCAGTAAGAGGAAAAGGTGTGGATGATGGTGGCCGAAAAGGGCAAAGTATATAGCGACGTAATTATTAAATATCTCGTCTGTATTTAAGCTTAACTGGTGGTTTCTATGAACTTGTGCCTCTGCATGTTGGTGCATTAGACAGCTCGTAGAGAAAGGAGACAAAGGTAGCAGCAGGCTACAAGGATCTATGAAGGGCACGGGAGCCAAGATCTCGATGGCAAATTGGGTTCAATCTGCCCGAAGCCGTCGTAGATGGATTGAGGTCTTTGGATGCTGCGAACGGAAAAGTGGCCGAGGCGGGGTTTTATCCGTCGGCAAATGATGAGGGGAAGGAGGCCGCTATTTACGTGGGGGACAGTTTGAATACAGACAGACATTTAAAGGCCTCGACGTCAAAAACAAAAATTGTTTAAATTAGTTGCATCTGATTTATCTGATCTACACCACACACTCGAGTGTATATTTGAAAGCTCAACTTCCTGCCCCCTTCACCATGGGAAAGATTGCCGACATCGTATACTACAGGGTACCCCCGCGCTGGCTCCTTGTCAAGATGACCGACGACGCGGGCAACGTCGGCTGGGGAGAGGCGTCTCTCGAGGGCCACACGCAGGCTGTGGAAGGATGTCTCGATGCGTGGCGGGACCAATATGTCGGACTCGAAGCTGAGTAGGTGCCTAAGCGCGACCTGCGGACAAGCTATCATGCTCACACTCGGACAGCGATATTGAGCACATCTGGCAGCTGTCGTGGCGCAAGTCGTTTTACCGCGGCGGGCCGGTATTCATGAGCGCCCTGTCCGGCATCGACATTGCGCTGTGGGATCTCAAAGGTGTGCCATACCCCTCTCACCTACCTCCAACCTTGACCTGCCTCCGAAAACACTGACCTCCCCCTCAGCTCGCAAGCTCGGCGTCCCCATCTACGACCTCCTCGGCGGCAAGCTACGCACCCGCCTCAAAGTCTACGCCTGGATCGGCGGCGACCGCCCCTCCGACGTCGAGACGGCCGCCCGCGCGCGCCTCGCCCAGGGCTTCACCGCCGTCAAGATGAACGCCACCGCCGTCAAGATGAACGCCACCGCCGACCTCGCCTGGCTCGACGCCCCCTCCGCCCTGGACCCTTGCCTCGACCGCGTCGCCGCCGTGCGCGCCCTCGGCCTCGACGTCGCCGTCGACCTCCACGGGCGCGCCCACCGGCCCATGGCCAAGCAGCTCGCCGCGCTGCTCACCCCGCTCCGCCCGCTGTTCCTCGAGGAGCCGCTGCTCGGCGAGCACCTCGACGGGATCAAGTCCCTGGCGGCCCAGTGCAGCGTGCCGGTCGCGTTGGGGGAGCGGCTGCACTCGCGGTGGGATGTGAAGCCGTTCCTGGAGGCGGGGTGCGTGGACGTGCTGCAGCCGGACGTGTGCCACGTGGGCGGCATCTCGGAGATGAGGAGGATCGCCGCCATGGCGGAGGCGCACGACGTAGCGGTGGCGCCGCATTGTCCGCTTGGCCCGGTGGCGCTGGCGGCGTGCATGCAGGTGGACGCGGCGACGCCCAACTTTGCGATCCAGGAGATGAGTCTGGGCATTCATTACAATGTAGATGGGTACGATTTGCTGAGTTATGTGAAGAATAAAGAGGTCTGGGAGGTGAGGGACGGGTACGTGGAGATGATGACGGGGCCGGGGCTGGGCATCGAGGTGGATGAAGAGCGCGTGAGGGAGGCGAGTAAGAATGCAAAGCCGTGGGTTTCGCCGGGGTTCTTTGGGCCGGGGGGTGAGATTCGGGAGTGGTAGATGTCGGAGATGTCGGCGGAGGAGCTGTCGGTGGTAGGAGGAGTCATTTACGAGTGGTACAAATCATGGCCAGTTAGTTACAAAGGAAGACATCGCGGGGTATAATTCAATCAATTAATCATGCAAAGGCATATTGTTGATATGTATCGCTAAAAACAAAGATATACATGGTGTACGTGTGCAGCCTCGTATCACATCGTCTCGCTCAACCGATGGGTTTGCAGGTGAAGACGCTGCCGACCCTGCCGTCGCGGTAGTTTTTCATCTGCGCATCTGTTAGCCGTCATCTCGACAACCCTGAAATGAGAGCAACTTACAATATCAACAATACTCGAGTATGTGCCGCCGACCAGCACAATCAGGCCGACGATGAAGGCGACCAGGTTGAGCACCGCCTTGACGCGGTTGTGCGGCGCCCAAACCGGCCCCTCCTTGATGAGCATCACCCACATGATGGGCGGGAAGTAGTAGGTGAAGCCGGACACGAACAGCGACGAGGAGATGGACAGCAGGTCGCTGAAGAACGGGATCGACTCGGCGATGATGAAAGCGAGCACGGTGATGATGAAGACCAGCCCCAGCCAGGTCGCCCAGCCCTTGGGCGTGTTGATGTAGCGCGTCACCGAGTCGCGGTACGCGCGCCCGTGGATGTACCGCCCGACCACGGTCGTGTTGATCGATCCGGAGATGAAGATGACCGGCAGCGCGACGCCGAACGCGATACGGGAGACGGTGTCGCCGGCGGACAGCAGCGCGGGCGACTTGACCTCGGGCCCGACAAAGGCGTAGATGAGCGCGCCGGTGACGGTGTAGATGGTGATCTCGATGAGGCCCAGCGACCAGATGGACTTCTTGTAGTCGCGCGGCGTGTGCATCTCGTCCATGAAGGAGAACTGGCAGATGGAGAAGGAGTAGGCAAAGACGATGTTGGTGACGGCGATGAAGGCGTCGGCGAAGCTGATGCCCTCGCGCGGCCACGCGGACCAGGCGACGTTGGACAGGCCGGGCGACTTGGAGGCCTGCACGCCGGTGGCGATGATGGTGATGCCGATGGCGAGCACGATGGAGACAAAGTCGATGTACCCGAGGATGGCCAGCTCGGCAAACGACGGCGGGATGGCCAGGATGAGCAGGATGATGGCGGACACGCCGCCGAACACGAGCGAGCATGTGCCCGTCTTGGAGATGTCGACGATGTTGCCGAAGGCGATGGTGCCAGTCAGGCAGTGCGAGCCGACCAGGAAGACGAGCTGCAGGACGAACATGGCGCCGACGACCTCGTAGCCGACGCGGCCGGCGATCAGGCGACCGGCGTCGGCGTAGTGCGCCGCCTCGGGGAACTTGATCTTGACCTGGCCGACCACGTCGGAGGTGTAGATGGCGAGTAGGCCGAGGCCGACGGAGACGATGGCGCCGGCGACCATGCCGAGCTCGGCAAACGCCTTGGGCAGGCTGAGCGAGCCGAGCGCGATGGCCTCGACGATGAGGATGATGGTCAGGCGCTTCCAGCCGAGGCGGTTGAAGTGCGCCTCGCCCTGGGCCGTCTTCTGCTTCTCCAGATCCGCGGCGGACCGCGAGGTGGCCAGGTTCTCGTCAAACTCGGTCACCTCGCCGTACATCTCGGGGCCGCCCATGACGCTGTTGTCCTGGGAGGAGGAGTCCCCGCCGGCCTTTTTGGAGAGGTCGGCGGCGTCGTGCTTCTCAGCTGTGCCAGACATGGTGAGGCGACGACAGGCAGGTCAATTGAGTTGTTTTGTATTAAGACTGTGTAAAGGATATGGTAGAAGGTTGGTTGGCAGTGGGTTGGGTTGGGTGAGCTGGGGTCGGGTGAGCCTGGGATGTATTGAAAAGCTTACACCACGCCGACGGGGAGGAGGGAAGGAAGCAGTTGAGAGAGTGCGGGGGAGGGTCAAGGGAAGGGGGGACCAGAGTCGTATTTAACAAAGAACCGCGTTCGTCTGGGGGCAGGATGGCTCTCTGACTACTCGGTATACTTTCAACAATGCGGTTTTAGCGTGAGGAGGAGGAGAGGTGAGGAAAAGGTGTGGTGGGGAGAGAGCGGTGCAGGACGAGGATGAGGCTAGAACGAAAGCAGGGGGCGTGATGGCGTATAGTCCAAATGGGAATTGGGGAAAAGGCAAGCCAGGCTAGCGCGGATGAGGAGAAGAGGAAGAAGAAAAGAAGAAGAGGAAGAAGAAGAAGAAGAAGAAGAAGAAGCAGGAAAAAATTCAACAAGAGGACAGCTCGAGCCCTAACCAGGGCAGCTGACTAGGTGATATTGATGGTGGGCCAAGGTTGGAGCAGGTCGGTCACGGCGTTATCAGCAAGAGCAAGGCAAGACAGACAGACTGCATGTATGTATGTATGTATGTAGTTATCTATCAATATTCTTTGTGTCTTTGTGTTTCCATTCTCATTCCACTTGTCCTCTATTGTTTACGCTTGCATGATTTGCGTGTTGCGAACGCCACCACGTCTCTCGTCAGGCGGCGCTTGCGGCCTTTCTGTCTCAGAGCGCGCTCCGTCTGAGACAATGGGCACAGGAGCGGTCCTTTCTTTCTCTTCATCTAGTTATCCGGTTACCGCCTGGCGACAAAACGGCAACCCCGGATCTGGCCTTCCCCCGCGCGCGCAGTTTTATTACGAGAAGGCTGTAGATGCCGCGTCCTTTATTGGCCGCCCGCCGCCCCCTTTTCCCCGGACGGATTGCGCAGGCTTGGACGAAATTTTATGGAAACTTTTTCGTAACACATTTCTCAAGTTCCCGGGGGAGGGGAAAGGTTGGACTTTTGCAGTAGTCACGTAGTGATGGTGGCAGGTACCCCCAAAAGCATAGTAACATGGGCGAAAAGTCCGCGCACACCCCGGCCAGCGTCCGCGACTCCATAACTAGTCAGCATGATTCCCACTCAACGAGAGAGAAAAAAAGCACTGGCCATTTGGTATTTTTCATATTTTTTCATTAAGCGGGCTCATGACCTTGGTCGATGCCCACTTGGAGAGGAGCAGCAATGAGTTGTTGTGGGCCGACGATGCTCCAGAATGAGAATGCTGAGTCGAGTCCGTCCAACCATGCTCCGTCCATCCATCCATCCAACCTCTGCCATCCTAGCGAGGGCCCGTTACGCTTGCGCGGTCAAAGTCTGGAGACGTGTTGCAGGTTGACTCTGCCTTTTCTTCCGGAAGCAAAATGCCTCGTTTCTCGTGCCCCCTTGTTAGCCCACCGAATAGGGTCATGGACACGACGTGGGATTTCTGGGGAAGTCGGCCAGCCTAGTTATAGCACACAACTCGTTAAGATGGGACCATTGATTGCCCAGCCCTCTTGCCTTGCCATCCATTCAATGCAGCCCTTTTATTGTCGAGACAGCGTTGTTGTTGGCTGCACTGTTGTTGTGTTCGTCTTGACGTCTGTCGTCGGAAACGTCATGAAAATTTTACGCCCCCTCCGGCAGCCGCCCTTGGCCAGCCGATTCCCGAACCCAAGACGTGTCGTTATTCCCCGATGCGGCTTGCCAAGGCAACTGTGGCTTTTTTTCTTCTCGGAACGCGGGCACTTAGTCGATGGGCTACCTATGTACCTAGGTAGGTAACTTATTAGTGTTAGTACATACAGAGATGGACAGCTGTGTGACCGCGCTGTCCGCCGCCACCCAGCGCCACCATCCTCCGTACCTCACAGCGTTAGTGCTGCACTACAATGCGCTGTAAGACTAGACTCGGGCCCGTGGCGCCGCTCTCTTGGTGCCGAAGCGTCATGGAGGTGCGCCACACGGCATCCCAACGCGGCCAGCCAGTCACCTCGCCTCCCTCTGTAATAATGATTACAAGCCCTGGGCCCACCCGCTGTGGGTTGTGGTAGTTGCCAGGCCGCCTTCTTTCCGTGGGGAGGCATGCAGAGGAAGAAGAAGAAAAAATTGAAAGGCTGGTTTCATTTACCGATGAGAAAAAAGGGGGCGTACTTGAAACGGCCTGCTCCGATTAATTCTCTTTGCGAAATGCTCCCCACGATGCGGCCCCAACCTGGGGAAGCCATCGCCTGCCGTGGAAGACTTCTGGAACACTGGGCCCTGCGCACCGGCTGACAGCTGACCCGCCCGGCCATCTGCGGGTTATTCGTGTCGCCTATTTATGTACTTTACTAGCACAGTACTTGGATAGAGATGGAGGAGTAACTAGTTAAAACGTACCAAGTACAGGGAATAAAAATGGATGACGGCGTGGTCGGCAGTTGGGCAGAGCAGAAATTGCCTGCAGCGTCCAAAATCCAGTGTGCTTGTATTGCCACCAACATCGATGACCAAGACAACGCGCGATCAACCGCCGTCCGGAATCAATTCCACGGCGGAATATCTGCGCTGCCGCAAGCCACCGCGGCTTTACGATTTGCAAAGCTGCAGCACCTCCGGCCTTGGCAGGCACAGACATACACATCCCTAGGTGAAAAGATGCGCCAATTTCCTCCAATGCGGTCGAGACAATTGTCAACCGCAATAGCAACCCCGCGCTATGGCCGAGCCCGACCAGGGACGTCGCGTCCTGCACAGCCATGAGTCGCGTCCTTGGACCTCGTTTCCGCCTCGTTTCCGCCCGCCCGCCGTCGCTCCATCATCTTTGCCTTGTGCGTCACACGAAACAAGCTCGAGCAACGGGACAAATGGCGAATGGGCACGGAGTAGTTGGGGCGGTGATTCCACGACAGGACCTCCACGCCGATGATCTGTGGGGTCTCCAGAGTCCCTTCGCTTATTACTGGGTAACTTGCAGCTCTGGGTCGCCCTGGAGGTAGTTACCCAATAACTAGTTTTACCACAAAACAACGTTCAAGCGGTAGCCTGGCAAGCTGAGGGCCGTCATCTTTCTCCTTCGCAGCACAGCGCCGCTCATCCTGGACGCCGCGCTCCCGCAATTGTGAACGAGTCGATCTCTTACCTCGTCTCGACCGGCCTGCCCGACCCGGCTGCGCACCATCCAATGTTGGTTGGGCACAAACCGCCGTGTGTCTCGGCCCTATTTGGATTTTGTCCGTCGCGACTGGGACGTCTAGCCGCTTTCCCGGTTGACATTTACGTACAGTGGCTCTCCATCATGCGATGAAGGACTTGCCTCGTTTCAGCCACTCTTCCTCGTGCAGGAAGAATAAAGTTGCCCCTAGCTGGCAACTAGCGAAGATGCAGATTCGAATGCTGCGTGGTCTCGTGGTCGATGATTGTCAAGCCCCTAGCAGACGCCTTCGGGCCATCCCCTGCCGTAGCGTGCTGACCGGAGCATCAACTCGGTCTGAGCTGAGCGACAAAATGTTTTGGCCGGGCAGGCCCTGGTGATTACCAGTCTGACCGAGGCGCGATGACCGAACGCGACCAGCGCAAAAAGCTGCGGCGCTCCGGGAACCGGCCTGGCTGGCTTGTTCAACGACATTGGCGTAAGCGAGGGCGGAGATGATCCCTGGTAGTTGTGACCGTGGTCTGAAGTCGGATTACAGTTAAATTCTGCCCTTGCAAGATTTGGCAATCGTTGATTCCTAAATGTACGCTTGAAATTTGTTTGGGGTTAGCTGAACAACTAGGCGAGACCGCAGCTTCGTCGGGTCGTCATCCAACTCCAACTACGAAGTACACACACCTAAAAAAAAAAAAAAAAAAAAAAAAAAAAATTTTGATTAATCCACAATTGCAATGGGACAAGCGTCTTTTTTAAATGCATTTTTACTCTTACTGAAGCTTGTACACTGCCTTTAACTCTGCATTTGCCATGTGTCACGTGTAACCACCCATTAGCGATAAGCCTTATCGATCAACTTTTTTTCTGCCCCGCTAGATTTTATCGCCAAATCGACATTGTGCGGCATCAAGGTTGCAGAGCCGCCAAATTTGTGTGCCCATCACCCATATACCGACGTTCCCATCCTCCTCTTACTTTCCTCTCTACTCATACTACAACACACACAAAATTTTCCACGACGCCTTTCCTCCCCGGCCGCCGCTGTACGACCCGAATCATCATGGCCACCCCGCCGCCGGCCCCTCCAAGCGAGGCGCCCGCGCCGACCACCATCACCACCAAGCCCATCCACAGCCTGGTCCTCGACACGGGCCCGCTCATCAAGAACGACCCGACCGTCAGCGCGCTCCTCGCGCAGGCCGAGCAGCTCTACATCCTCCCCTCCGTCGTCTCCGAGATACGCGACGCCGCCACCCGGTCCCGCGTGGAGACGCAGCTGCTGCCGTTCGTCACGGTGCGCTCGCCGAACCCGAAGAGCGTCGGCGTGATCCGCGAGTTCGCGCGCAAGACGGGTGACTTGGGATCGCTGAGCAAGCCGGACGTTGAGGTGCTGGCGTTGGCGTACGAGCTGGAGTGCGAGCGCAACGGCGGCGACTGGCGGTTGCGCAGCTCGCCAGACCAGAAGCGGGTCAACGGGAAGCCGCCGCAGAGGGAGGAGGCGGCGACACAAGAGGCAGAAAGGGAGCAGACGGTGGAAGGCGCGGCGGCTGTCCCGGGTGCGGAAGTGCCGGTGGAAGAGATGGCGAAGCTTGACGTTGCTGATTCCGCCCAGCCAGAGGATGCCCCGGAGGCTGTCGATGCCAAGCCTGAGGATGCCAGCGAGGCTGTCGGTGCTACTCAAACTGAAAACAATACCAAGAGCGAACCTTCTGCGGAAACTGAACCGGCTACGGAAACTGCAGATGCTACCCACACGCAAGGCTCCGAGAACGCAGACGATGGCCTCGTCATTGACGAGATTGTGGAAGAGGGAGACGACGACGAAGAGGACGGCGAGGCGTCCGACGACGACGGCGGCTGGATCACGCCCTCCAACATCAAGAAGCACAAGGCCCAGGCCGCCGGCTCCACGCCCTCCCAAGCCCCGCAACGCACCCTCCAAGCCGCTGTCCTGACCTCCGACTTTGCCATGCAAAACGTCGCCCTGCGCATGAACCTCAACCTCGTGACGCCCTCGTTCGCGCGCATCACCCAGCTCAAGACGTGGGTGCTCCGGTGCCACGGCTGCTTCGCCGTGACCCGGCAAACGGAGCGGCAGTTCTGCCCGCGCTGCGGCCAGCCGACACTGCTGCGGACCAGCTGCTCGACGGACGCGCAGGGCGTCGCCCGGCTGCACCTGAAGCGCGGGTTCCAGTTCAACAACCGCGGCAACGTGTACAGCGTGCCGAAGCCGGTGCACGGCACGCCGCACGGGCGGCTGGCCAAGCACGCGGGCGGGAAGAACAACTGGGGCGCGGGGCTGGTGCTGGCGGAGGACCAGAAGGAGTACGTGCGCGCGGCGGAGGCGCAGAGAAGGCAGAAGAAGAGGGATCTGATGGACGAGGAGTTCCTGCCGGGGATCTTGACGGGGGATCGGTCGGGAGGGGGCAAGATCAAGGTCGGCGCGGGCAGGTCGGTGAATGGGCGCCGGCGGCGGTGAGGGGGTAAATTGAGGTGGGAAGGATATGAATTCACAACGAAGAACGGTTTATGAAAGGGTAGACGGGATACGGGTTGGGTTATAGAAGCATTTTGCAAAGCAAATCGGATTAAGAAAAGCAAATTGACATTTTCAAACACGACACGCTTGGTCTTGGCAGCGGTGATGGATTTGATGTAATTTTGAATGTTATCCCGTTGACGCCAAAAAAAAATGTACATGCATCAGGATGTCAGTATCCAGACACCTGAACAATGTATGAAAAGAAGATCCCAAAAACGCCCGTCAGAGCTCGAAGCCTTGACATTTCCAGCTCCCCATGCTTGCCTCCCCAATCGTCATCTTCTGCTCTCCGTCAAAGCGTGCCCACCCTCGTCCGTCTCCATCTCGCAAAATCGTCCTTTACTGCTCCTCCTCCTCCTCTAAACACCGGGGTCAGCATTGTCATCTTCCAGACGAAACTAAAGGGAGGGGCAGCACGCACTCTGCTGGGTCAGCAGCAGGCCGAAGCGGCGCTTGAGCGTCACGCGCTGGCGCGACCACTTGTCGTCGGGCGAGAAGCGCGCCGGGTGCGCGCTCTTGGTCACCTGCCCGCGGGCGACCTTCTTGAGGGTATACAGGCGGTTGCCCTTGTCGTCGACCGTGTACATGAGATGCATTGCGGTGGTGGTGTGGTTTGTTGTCTAGCGAGGACCGTAATTGGAGGTGTTCCTGCGACGGAGAGGACGGTGGGAGAAGGTTGTATTGCTGAGCGCGTGCGTTTCGAAAAATTATGAGGCCGACGGGGAGGAAAAATTGCGTGGCAGAAAAATTCGGGCGGCCGATTTGGAAAAAGATGTGGGTCATTGGGCTTATCGATAACCAAGGAAGTTGCGCAGTGATTGTTCCAGGATGCATACCACTCGGGACTGCTACCCTATAGGGCCGATGATAGGCGAGCTTCTCGCCTCGGCAAATCTGTTCCCAGTCTACCCAGTCAGGGACATCTGTGACTTGCCACCATCTTTCCAATCGTTTCGTCTGATTCCGAGTACTGTTCGAGAAGAGGCAGTACCGTCGGCCGCCTTATTACCTGATGGATACCGGACGTCTATTCGATCTAGCACGTCGTTAGCGAGCTTGTCATACGGGTAGAGAGAGCCATCTTGTTTTCGTAAACTTATTATGATAATAGACATACAAAACGGCTCCGAGTGGCGGGCCAAGGACCCTGAACTTGCCGTAATGTTATGTGGGGCTATTTGGCGGGAGAAGTTCCGGCAAGGTCAGGCCCAAGACTTACTTTCCTTTTGGGCTGCACAGCACCATCATCATTGGCCGCATCCGAAGCTTATTGCTAGCTGAAGACAGTACGGAATTAGAGTTACCATTCGATGGGCCGCCGGGTAGCGGAGTACAATCGGGTTTAGAGAGCTAGCCTGAGGAGGCGCCCGTGTGCGCGGCCATCACTCGTATTCGCTGTCGGAGGCTGAGATTGAACCCGGCTTCAAGCTTGAGAAGGGGATAGAGAGATGTAGGAGGACTCGAACAGGCGTTTTGTGCGGGGAGTTGTTCGAAGGGAGTATTTGGTACAGCTTGATCTCAAGTCGGTACTTGGATATCATGGACTCGATATCGTCATGCGACTTTCGGCGAGTTTTCGGATGACCTCCTTGCCCTAGCTAGGCTGGCACCACACCACGCGTGGATGTGCTTGTTGATGTAAGTCGGACATGTAGACATCCACCCACGCGGTTTATAATGCTAACAGTACATTCTACATTTCAGCTCATATGGTGCTGTATGTGATGCATTGCCTGACGCCGATCGAGCCCGTCATGACAGACTGCATGCCACCCAAGTGCCCACGTAAAATGCCTTTCCTATGCAAGCAAACCACCAATAACGCCTCGGTTACCAGTTTTCGTGAGCAACATTTATAGCCAGGTTCATTCTCATCATCAGCCTCCTCATCCCAGTCATCCAGAACCGCATCGATGAACACTCCCACCCCAGAATGACGAAGGATCAGACCAACTGCCCTGTGGAAAGAAAGGAGGCATGGCGATGGCGACTCTATTGTGCCGTCTCCTGCCAGGAGCAGCTCGCTAACAGGAAGCCCGCTCTTCGACGGGATAAATGAGCCAAGACGGTATGTGTCTGCTTGCTTCTGGGGTTCAAAGTAGATCTTGAAGTTGCCAAAATCTTCGCGTAGGCTGGGAGCCAGCGTTAGTGCATTTCGCGGTCTATCCGTGCCGGGGGCCGTCGGGAATCAAGTGCAGAATATCCGTGTCCAGCATGTCTAGAATCTGCAGGGTAGCTTCGCTCTCGTCATCCTACAAGTCGAAAGGTGAGTTGGTATTCAGAAGCACATCGACATGGAGACGGCTGAGGGGGTTCGTCTGCCGAACGCTTTCACTGCACCGCGTTGTTGGCGACCCTGCCTTCCGCGATTGACCGTCATTCGGACTCCCCCAGGTAGGAAGAACTCGCAGAGCAGATAGTCTGCAAAGTCCGCAAGCTCTGACCAGAGTTCACGCTCCGTCGCTTTATCGGTCAAGTCTACGGGGCTGTCCAGGGGGCATGGCGATGGGCCCGAAGAATGCCTTCAAGACGGTGTCCTTGGCCTCGTCCGTGAGCGCATGGTCGTACGTGCAGCGCACCAGCGCCGCTCGGTCATGTTTTGTATTCGGCGGGGGCTGGTCGCCGCCGAAGTGATCGATGATCGCATAGAACCTAGCCTCTGCCTTACTTGGAATTTTTGAAGGGGTCGATGAGACCGTGGCGGAAGGGGATGCCATGTCTGCTTAGATTTCTAACATCGCTTGAGTGTGTTGAGAAGGAAGTGTAAAAATTTGGTTGACGGAGAGGGAGAGTGCTGTCTTTCGCTGCCAGAAGTTGTGCGTGTTGAAAGTTTCACGCCTGACATTGTAAAGTTGGTTCAAGAAGTAATAATAGACTATAAAAGAGTGAGGGAGAAGTTGTCGATGCACGGCGTCAAGGCAGCCATCACTTTATTTACGGAATTTGACCGCTGTTAATTAATTTCTGTACGTACACATCAGACACGACACCATAGCAACCAACCACGTTAAAAGCGAAAAAACGAATCAAGCCCCGGTCAGGATTAAGTTTCGCCCACGAGTACGAGTATAGTGAGAGAGCTAGCTTGTTCACGTAATGTGGCGGGATTTGAAGAGAAGGACAATGTGAAATTAGAACACTGTGAATTTGCAGTCGTACATAAAAAGATGATGAAATAATACGCTGCGAGACTAAACCAATGAGCGGCTCTGGCTGAGCCAGAAAAATGTCATGAAAAAAATCGAGATCAAGAAAGTAAACGTTGGGAGCGGCCCGTCGTCATTCTTTCTGCCGTACAGAACAATGACCATGTGCTGCTCGGGCGCCACTCAAACCCAAGACTGGCCAAGACATGGCATCCATCCTTCCCAGACCAAGTTACTCATCCTCTCCAACACGAGCGCCCTTGGGCCCGTTGAAGCCATCCTTCTCAAAGAACCTGAAAACGAGGTTGTAGTCGTCAAAGTCGTGCACGATGCGATCGACGCGCTTGTAGCCGGGGACCGGGTCGGCGAGGCGCTTGCCCGCGAGGCCGCGAATCTGGTCCGCGCCGGCGCCGTAGGGGTTGGCGCGGCGGCCCTTGGCCTCAAAGAGCGTGACGCTGAAGCGGCCGGGCTTGAAGATGTCGACCACGTGCTCGATGATCTCGGCCGTCGCGCGACCCTTCTGCCCGCCCGGTACGTTGGTCTCGAACGAGGCGAACGAGAAGCCGTCCTCCGGGGTGACGTGCACGGTAAAGTAGTGGCAGGCCTTGCTCTCGCCGTCCGCGTTGGGCGGGGCCGGCACGACGCCGTTGGCAGAGAAGCCGCAGGGGCTGAACAGGTAGGCGTCGATGCGGGCGTCGGGGTAGACCGAGGTGGGGTAGACGTTGGCCAGTCCGCAGTTGTCGGAGATGACGGTGCCCAGAGCATGGCCCTCGGTGGTGAGGGACTCGTCAATTTCCGGCCCCTTGAGTCCGTCGTGCAGGTCAGAGTCGCTTCCGTTGCTAAAGACGTCGACTTCGTCCAGCGGCTCCGAGGAATCGCCATTGGTGGCCGAGCAGCGGGCCTTGTTCTCCGCAGCCATCCTATCGCAAGCGACCGCACTCGCGTGCGAAAGGAAGAACTGCTTTGCATTCTCAGGATCGAGATCGGTCATGAGGATCTCCAAGGTCTCGTCGACATGTTCATCGCCGCTCGACTCGACTCCAAGCTCCATATCGCCATCAGTCTCCAGGATTTCGTGGGTCTCCGACTGAGGAGTGATTGGCGGGGTGAGCTCCTGGTTTGGGGGAGTGAGATAGAGGTACCAATGATCTCCGTTCATCTTGCCGACCATGTAGGCGCTGCCGTGGCTGAGCATGTCGTCAAGATACTTGACCTCCTGCTTCCAGCTGCGGTGGGGTCCGCGCTGCTTGTCGGGGAAGAGGAAGTTCTTGCGGCTGTAAAAGACGCGGTACGGGGTGGCGGCGGCGCGGATGTTGTCGACGGAGCTGGCATTGCTGAAGGGGAAGCCAGCATGAACGGCAGCAATATGGAGAAGGCGCTGGAGACCGAGGAGAAGCGTGGTGGTGCCGCAGGTCTTGAGGATCAGCTTGTGGGGGAACACAAACATGCTCGACTCGGAGAGAAGGTAGGCGTCGACGGTGTCGGACTCGAGGACGGAGAGGACCTTGCAGTGGACCATGTCAAGCATGGACTCCCACGTCTCCTTATTAACAGCCTTGAGGCCCAGGGGAGAGGCATTGATGGGCAGGGCATCGGCGCTGGGCGCAAACCAAACCTCGAGAAGCTTCTCGGGTCCCTCAAATGCATTGGTTGAGTCTAGATCGGCGACGACATCGTGATTGATGGTCAGGTGAGGGGTGGCCGAGGACGGGGAGAAGGTATAATTGGTCGGGACCGAGTACTGGACCATGGTAGCGGCGAGATGCGTCGACCGGCGAGTTATTCTAGGAGGTAGGGTTCGTTGATAGGTGCTATGCCCGAATGGCAGAGTCCGCGGAGCACTAGCTGCCGCTCAAACAGACTTTGCGGCGTCTGCTTGAGAGAGTAGGCCCACAGGAAAGTGGTGAGTCTCGAGCGCTGGCGGAGCCAGCAGCAATACGTTGGTGGGAGGTTGTTGGCAACGTCACGAGGGGACGTTAGGGGGGTCGGAAGATGGAGTGCTGAAACCTCTTCTCGGGAGGAATTGTGGCAAGTAGGCTGCAGTCCGATACCTGTGAGGGAGTATCGGAGCTAGCAGACAGTAGGATCTGCTTTTCAAAGGGACAAGGCGGTGGTGATGTCGCTTGTAGGCGGGGTATAGAGCAAGAGGGGTGCTATCGGGGCCTGGACGAGGAGATGTTAGCGCAAGCTCGTAGAATTTGGAGTATGAGGTGGTGAGGGTTGGGTCTGTCGTACTTGGATGGTCTGTTGAATAAGAAGCGAAGAGGGTCTGCTAGACGCATAGAAGTCCGGAGAGGGAAGCCAGAGGTGATCAGAGAGGTGTGGCGGTCGAAGCGATCACGGCCGTCGTGTTGATGAGCAAGCTCGGGGGTTTAGCAAAGGACTTGTAACATTGATTGGACGGCACAATGCGAGCCGAATGGAAGCGGGAAGCTGAGGAGGTCAATGGAACTGGCGAGCGGGAGTGGCCGTTGGTGAGAGTTTTGATGGTGCCAAGTGGAAGAAGATTTTTGTCGTGCCGGCGGCGGGCCAGAAAAGGCGCAGTCTGGTGGCGCGAAAATTTGTATGCAGGCGGCAGCAAGAGAGAGTGAGGGGTGCAAGTTACGTAGGACGCCACAGCTGCAGCAGGCCGTGGATGTTTTGTGTCTGATTTCTCTCCAAGACGGAAAGTCTGTGAGGGTAAGAAATAGGAAACGAAGCACGAGAGCTGGAAAAGAGACCAGCTATTATTATGTGTGTCCAATATTTTTGTCGAGGGAAGCGGGTGGTGGTGACGGGTTCCCCACAAGCTACGTGTGTACTGTAGGTTCAGGTATCAACGGGCGAAAAAATTCGCTGATGACGGTGGCCCCAAAGCTGACCAGGTTGCCAGGCTCAGTCCAGCCAGCCAGCCGTATTCAGCGTTTTCCCTCTCCATTGCATCTTGTGGGGTGGACTCACTCACGGCTTTTCGATTGGCGCCTTCCAATCCGGGCAGCCTGCAGACTCTCATCAGCGCGACCCGGCTGCATGGCAGTGTCTCGGGAAGAAAAGTGCACCTACGAAGAAAACAATGCATAGAAGGCGGATCAGCTTTTGCAATTTTTTTTTTTTCAAAAAAAAAAAAACCCCCCCACAATTGCTAGGGCCAAACACATCAAATTCCCATGAAAACTTTTGAACTGCATGCCCTGTTTTTCGTCGCATAGTCCCAAGTTACATCACCGACCGGGTGTCTGTGCCCGCGTCGCCGCATACGGACATGCCGCACGCGAGCCGGTGCCAGTGCTACCCAACGGACTACGGATAGGCCAACTTAATCCATCCAAATTTTACTTGCCTTTTGAAGATTGTGTCTGTGCGAAATCGCAAGCAACGTCTACGCGGTGGTCTGTGATTCCCATGCTGGCTGTTTCCGTGAGACAACTCGGGCCATCAACACCGTCTCCAGCTCATCAATCAATGCATGCAACAGTATTAAATATCATGCCTCATTAAATTTCCTTGTTGAGCGCCAACCGTCTATATGTCATCTATTCGTATATGTAATTATATCTCCAGCCATGCTCACCGGCTCGCCGCCCCCTCCGCCAACCGCTGCGCTATGTCCTTGAACAAATGATACAGCGAGCAGTCCTTGTACTTTTCCATCAACGAGCCGGCATCGCCACCATCACCACCATCCCCGTCCCCTTCCTCCCCCGCCGCCGCCCCGATGTCCTGCCCGTTCACCTCCGTGCCCTCCGGATACCGCGGCCTCCTACCCTCCTCCACCAGCGCCACGAACTGCGCATCCATCGGCACCGCCCCCAAAAACTCCACGCCAAACTCCTCCGCCATCCGCCTCCCGCCCCCCGCACCGAAAATCTCCGTGCACTCGGAGCAGTTGGGACACACGAAGCCCGCCATGTTCTCCACCACGCCCAGCACGCGAATCGCCGTCTTGGCGCAAAAGTTGAGCTCCTTGCGCACGTCCGCCGTCGCCACCGCCTGCGGCGTCGTCACCACCACCGCGCCCGCCAGTTTGTCCTTCGCATCCGCGTGCAGCGTCTCCGCCAGGGAGATGTGCTCGTCGGAAGTGCCGGGGGGCGTGTCGACAAGCAAGAAGTCGAGGTCGGGCCAGAGCACGTCGCGGAAGAACTGGCGGATCATGGCGGTCTTTTTGGGGCCGCGCCAGACGACGGCGTCGCCGCGGCGGGGGAGCAGGAAGCCGAGGGACATGGCGTGCAGCGCGCCGGTGGTAGAGGAGGCGGGGGAGACGAGGACGGGGGCCCAGCCGCCGGGGACTTGGGTGACTTTGGAGGATTCGATGGAGAGCATGCGGGGGATGGAGGGGCCGGTGAGGTCAACGTCGAGGATGCCGACGGAGTGGCCGGCGAGGGCGAGGGAGAGGGCGAGTTGGGTGGTGACGGAGGACTTGCCGACGCCGCCCTTGCCGGAGAGGACCTGCGGGGGGTGGTGAGCGCGTCGTGATGGAAGAAGAAGGAGGAGAGGAGGAGGAGGAGGAGGGCACGACGTGCTTGACGTTGTCCAAGCCCATGGCGGCGGCGCTGTGTGTGACGCAGCGAGATGTTGCAGTGTGTGTTTCGGTAGCGCAGAGAGAGTGTTCCGCCGGCTGTCGCTGAATGATCGTTCGGTGGGTGTTGTTTGCAGGTCAGAGGTCGTGGCGCAAAAGGTGAAGATGCTGAAAGTTGGATTAGAAAGCAAGCAAGAAGAGCAGCCCGACAACGGCGTGCATTTGCCCCGCCAAAAGCCGCCTCGGAGCCCCCGCCCCCACCACTCATACATCACCAATAAGTAATTAGACATCTCACTGTGAGGTGGAAAATGGTTATTGGTTCAAGGTGATCATTTGAGTCAAATGAGAAACAACTATGCTATAATGTGTCAAGAAAATAAAATAAAAAAGCAACAAAAAGGAAATAAAAAGAAAACACCGGCTCCTTGTCCATGTCTGGAGACTTGCCCTTCCCTTCTTCTATTTGACCCGCGCTAACCCCATGGCGCGCATCATACATGTATGCATAAACCAGTCGTTTTGTTGTACCGTATCAAGTCCCGAAAAAGATGAAAAGGAAAATATGAAATCGTAGTACTCGGCGCTTAGCTGCTTTTTTCCGCTTGTGCTTGTCCTTTTGGCGTCTCGCAGTTGTCCCAGTCGTCTGTCAGGAACCGGATCGAGTCGCGCTGATAAGCAACCAGGACGCTGTTGTTGTCGAACCGACCCAGCAGCTCGCCACCCGCCGAGAGGTCGATGGCATCGGTGTTTGTGAAGCGTACTATCGGGCCGCCCTCGACTGTGAATCCGATAAACTGCCCGATGATCGTTTCGTCGACCGACTCTCTTGAGCCGGGTCCGATGGTGTTTCTGTTCCGGTTAGCACTCACTTGGCTCATCGCCTGTCGGGTCTGTACCTACACTCTGCTCATGGGCGGCTCTGTTTCCTTTTCTTTATCCGTCGTCTCCGAGTCTGACTTCTTGAACCACTTCTTTAAGCGCGCCTTGGAGCTGTAGAAGCACATGTGCAGCAACCCAGCGATGACGAGGACGGGCGTCCCCATCGCCAGCGCCCAGGGCCTATATCTTCTGTCAGTGTCGTCTTAGAATAGTGGGGAGGGAGGTCATGCTAACGGGTGTTGCTTATTGCGCAGGGAGTGGATCATGGCGAGGATGACGCCCACGATGGCGATGAGCGAGCCGACCTGGATCATGGTCCACGTCGACCAGTACAGCGACATGAGGTCCTCACCGTCGCAGAATTGCAGTGCTAGCAGCGCGTAGGCCTCCATTACGACGATGACGGTCGAGGCGAGGACGCAGCATGTGCATATGCAGATGCATAGTCGAAGACGCTTTTGGAGCTTGCGGGGGTGGTCGGTGTAGTTGGATAGGGCCTCCTGGGCTCTGAAGATGCTCAGCAGGTGGCTTCATGCTGGGTGAGAGAAGAACTCACTTGATGTAGGCAAATGAACCGAAGAATAATAGTAGCAGGTTTGAGATGAACAATGTCCAGTATATCACCTTGAACTGCCACCGTACGAGATGTGATGCAAACTGTGCGTATTTGAGACAGTTTGGTGAGTGCGGGCCAATTTCATCGTCCATATTGCGTGTATGTGTGTGTGTATGTGTGTGTATGTGTATGTATGTGTATGTATATGCCTGCTATGCCTGCTATGCCAATAGAAAACTTGTTGGCTCGTAGTTAGTTGTAGAGTGAAGGTATCGACAAGTGATGAACAGGAAGGGAGCCGCGGCACGTCGAAGAACCTGCGCAGATTGGATGACAGATCAAGCCGGTATTATTATACACCCCGGTAAAGTAAAAAAACGAAAACTGTGTTTGCTGTCCAGACAAGGCAGCCCGGCAAGTTCGCTTGTGACGCCTAAACAGGGGAGGACTGTAGTTATGTGCCCAATGCCAAGCTTGGCGCATTGGTGCTGAGATTCCACAATCACTGAGACATTGGTGTGTTGGTGCAGGGCTTGCGCGTATGGTTACAATGTGCCAATCTCCACCGAAATAAAAAATAAGCTTATCTGTGAAGCAAATCCCTTTCCCGTTGCAGCGTTTCACGGCCAAAGCCCTTGTCCTTCCGTGAGTCACGACTAAGCCTCAAGCGGGAGAAGAAGTTTGTGTGTGTGCGTGCCACCGGTGTAAGCCGGAGTCTGGATCTGCACGGGAAGAGCATCTTCCGCCTCTTTTTTTTTTCTTACTAAAGAAGCATCAAGTCGCAATGTCAGCAGAGCGGCAGCGGCGGAAGCATGTACCAAGAAGGACAGCATTTGCCGAAAGCGTTGGCATCTCAGAACCCGGCTTGGCGGGTATGGGAGAATATGGAGTCCCAAATCTCAGCCCGGCAGCAAGATGTGCAGATCCAATCCAGCCGCGCACGGGGTGGCGTAACAGAACCAGTCTCTAGTGGTCTTTACTTGGTGGGTTTGGCGAATCGCCTGCAAGCAAGATGCAAAGGAGGGACAGAATGGAGGAAAAGGGGGGGGACACAAAGGGCGAAAAGACCAATAGGCACCAGGTGCTGCGCCTTGTTGCCAAGAGCGAGACCGCAAGGTCGACCCGCCGCCACGGGCCAGCCCAAGCCCAAGGCGCAGGTCTTCGCCCGCGGCTGGAGGGAGGTGCATGGAGAGTATACGTATACATGTAAATCAGAAGAGCTGTGCAGGTATCCGTTACCGTTATCAGTGTGTGTGACGGAGTTTGCAGTTCACTGATGAGTGGGCGAGTGACTGGGGGAGTGACTGGAGGGAGGCCGTTTCAAAGGCGATCAACAAGGCCGAAACGGTCGAAACGTTGGGGGCAAAGAACCTAAAAATAAGACGACGTAAAGGAAGAACGCATGGCTGATCGCTGGAAGATTTGGAAGGAAAATTACGAGCTTGAAACACGACGTTGTTAGCATACCCTGGGATGCCCTGGGCAATGATGGCAATGATGGCAATGATGGCAATGATGGCAATGATGGCAATGATGGCAATCAATGATGGATGGCAATGATGGCAATGATGGCAATGATGGTGGTGCCCAAGACGGGCTGTGCGAGATGAGGCTCTGTCAAGCCTGTTTGTCTGTCATGTGCGAGCACAGCGACGGGCAAGGACAAGTCGAGGGAGCGTATCAGTGAGACAAGTCGGCTTGGCGGCGACGATCGACAGGAAGTCCAGCCCCAATCTTGCATCTTGCTAGGGCACGATGGTTAGGGATTGTGGCGGCGCCACTTCTCCGACGAGAACACCGATATAGTTAGAGGACACCAAGAGCCGGTGGCTTTTAATGCGAATGGCAATCGGGAACCAATCATTCGCTGCTTGCATCTATGTATCTATCTACAGACATACCGACAGCGGTCAGCTGCTCAGACAGGGGTGGTGATGACGGTTTCGTCACTAATGTAGAAAAAGGAAAGAAGAAAGAAAGAAATTTAAGAAGAAGAAGAAGAAAAATGCAAAAAAAAGTCGAGAAAAAGAACCAAAGCATAAGCAGATTGATGATAGGTCAAAATAAAGATGATAAAGATAAAGACTAAGTGAATAACAAGTAACCTTGATGCCCCAATGCGCAAGATGCGCCAAGACATGGCCTCGAAATGCATTCGGAAAGAAGATGAAATGAATGACAAAGCCCCAGAGATTAGAAACACAGGTATGGAGCCAAGTCGCAACAAGATCTTGGTATTCTCGTCATCATTTATTCACTATAACCCTGTTAATTATTTTTTCCGCGGTGGTGCATACAGAGAGCGTGGGGGTGCTCTCTCTCTCTCTCTCTCTCTCTCTCTGCTTGGAGACACGCGTCTCCTGACTCGACAAATAACACCTATTTGGGGGGGTTGGGGGGCGACGGGCGGAAGGTGTCTGGTGATCGCCCCCAATGACCTTTGATCAACAACTTTATCTACAGGAAGAAAAATAGAAGAAGAGATCATCAGTGAGGCATTTATTCTACATCCACGATCAAGGCTTGGCCTGGGAGTCTACCTGGGGATCGCCATCTTTTTTCCTTCCAGAGGGCCTTGCCCAGATGCGGAAGCATGTCACCCGCGCCGCTGGAGGCCTGTCTGCCTTGTTGTTCACGGCACACTGGAGCAAAGCTGGGGAAAAAAGGACAGGTCGAATCAGGTAGCACGAACAAAATGTGAAACGAGAATGACCAAGATCTTGGTCCGCATTCCCCAGTTCTGACATTGGTTGAAACCTGCTCGCGGGGGACTAATGTAATGTGAGTGCTTTGCTGGTTCGGCGCAGGTTCTCAGGCGTCGCGCATCACCAACCATGAGTTTTACGAGCAACGTTGTCGCACAGGGGGGGAGGAGCATAACCGAATCATGAATAATATGAATAAGTGACAACAGCTCTGCAGAACTACTTCTTTAACAAAACTCGACGCTTAGTGCTTCGATTTGTCATGCTCTACACCTCGCTTCTACCGTTGATCGCAGTCTCAGTCGGGGTTGATTCCCCCCCCCCCCCGCCCCAACTTCCCCGGAATTGGAACTGAATCGCCAGAAAAGTCTGTGACAAAAGTACCTTGATAACATAATCTACGCCCTCGGTTTAATGACAGGTTAACTGCACGCACGGGATGACGAGCACACAATGACTGCCCCCGACCTTGGCGCGAGGTACTTAGCCCGCACTCGGACGCTCTTGGCTTCGTCCGCTGAACGTCATTTGCCCTTCAAAGAGCTATTCTGAGACATGAGGAAACCTTCCGGTCCTTGCCGATGTTGACGCCATTGATAGACTATCAGTGCCCGCCCGGTGGATGAAGCGGGAGACCGCAGCACCATGCGAAGCACATGTACTGTCGTTCCTCGTCACGTTCTGCGCAGACTCACTACCGGTGAGCAGGGATGGCAGGCTTTGCCCGTAAAATAATGCAGTTGCAAGAACACTCTGGAAGCCGCCTTCGTCTTGCTCTCAGGTGATTTCTACGTTTGCTGGCAGGCTTTACTGCTGTGACGTTGTTATCTTGCTGAAGACCGGCTTTTGCCTCGACCTTGGGTAAGCAAGGCCGATCGGCCTCGCGTCGTCTCTACGCTTTAAAAGAACAGGCGACGAAAGACTCCGATCGTCTTCTTGAAAAGGCCGTAATGCACCGGTAGACAAAAAACCAGGGCCGTGTTCTTCCTCTGAGTGTGCAAGGGACCTGACAATAAAGAGTATGCGCCGGCGCCAACGGTCGGACCGTTTCTTTTACGCGAGTTAGTTGTCAATTCTTATGAAGGCGACAAGTTCTGAGTTGCTTTATGCTAGTTGCCATGTTTGTCTAACACGACTCATTCATGGTGGCGCCGGAGACTCTGGTGGCAGGTAATGCTCTGCCTTGCAAGGCCAGCGTGCAAGCGCATTTGGGAGCGAAGCCATGCATTGCCTTGCACAGACAGGTGCGACCTGGGTGTGGAACTGTCCTTCATTCATCCTTCAACTACATAGTTCATGCAACTCTTTTATCGTGTTGCTGCGCTGACTTGTCTTGAAACCCCCCAGCCGGTAGCCATGAGTCGGTCCCATGAAGGCAGCGACGTCTCAGACGGAAACCACAGTATCGAGGTTCCGTTCCCTCCACGACCTATACTTCAGTTTCACCTGCGGAGCGGCAACCGTCCACGGTTTCGCATCAGGAGCTGGGGCGACGATGGAGAAACGGGTTCGTTACAGGAGAAAACGGTCGCGACAGAACTTGAGCATGCTGCAACGGTAAACAGGCGTTCAAGTTTCACCAACCGTCCTGAAAAAAAATTACCAAGCGGTAGCCTCGCCGGATCGAAGTGCTGGTATTGGGCCGAGGGGGGTTTTCCGCATTAATTACCGTTTCGAACGGATGAGGCGGGTTGCATGATCGCCTGCACGGCAGCACCGACCCAATAGGCGACAGACAACCGCAGCGCCAGCAATCTTGGAATACCTACCCTGTAGCGATTCAAAGGTAGACTATGCGCCCACTCGCAGAAGGCCCTGTGCAGTTAACTTGATGACGCGAATGGCGATAAGTCTGTCGGCTTGGAGGCTTTGTCCTACAGGCGAAGACCATGATCAGGGTGCTGGCGCCCCAGCTGCACGGTGACTGACAAGTTTCGGGATTAACAAAGAAATTTTTTTTATAAACATGTCGTATATTTATTCTCCGCTGGATGATGTTGATTTTGCGACCGGGTATTTCGGGAATTTGGAAGGCGCGCCAAGGCCCCGGCCGGGGTTCACCGGCCCAAAGCGCCGGAACAAATCTAGATACAACGTAGATGGTAGCGCTGCGGGCGCTCGATTCCGAGTGAAGGCCATTGAAGATGCACCCGAGTTTTTATTTCTCTGCTTTCCGTCCTTGTGCTATTGAATGTGATGGTGCGCGCCATTGCTCAAACAAGAGGGCGCGCGGCCAGACTTGGACGGCACACGGCTCAAGAAATTGGCAAAGATCAACGCGGCTGAGGAGAGCGAAGGAAGCACGCAGCACGAGACTGCATCCCTCGGATGGTACGGTGCTCTTGGATGGCGTCTGCTTCTCCACGCACTCCGGCCCGACGGAGCGGCCAGACGACGGCCGATTAATTGGTTTTCGTGTAGAGGACGAGCTCAGCGTGCGCCGGCGGTGAACCATGCGGTCTTCCGTGTGTGCACAAAGAACGCTATGGCACCCTCATTCGACTCGGAATATATAAAGAAAAAAAAACGGCCGCGCCTTGGTAAAAAATGCGGACAAGCATGGTTCTTGCGGAAAATTATCCCGTCGGCTAATAAAAATAGAGCATCGCGGGGTCGTCCATCCCGCCGCCACCGCAGCCGTGCAGTAAGGACATCTTTACCATCCGCCGGACATTAAAACGCCACCTAAGCAGGCAAAAGAAACCGCAGAAGAAACGAAAGCGGTCAACTGTCGGTCTATCCATTCCTAGGGCAATCAGTGCGGCAGTTATTCTTAGTGCTCGCTTGCGCTGCGACGGAGCTGTCAATGTGTGGTTTCGCCTGGTACCATCGGGTCTATCCTAAACCCTTGGACGCGACGGCGATTTTTATCATGTTCCCCTCACTTTCTTTAAGATGACGAACGCCTTCCTTTTCTCTTTCATCTCTCGTTATCTCGAAAGGTGATTTCTCTAGAACCCATTCTCTGAAAAGGTACCACTTTAGTCTTGGCTCGTTACCAGAAGACTCGACATATACATGGTAGCGGAGAACCCTCACACAATACAGACAGCCTCGCCCAGCATGCCCTCTGCGCTGACCAAGATCCGACACTCGTGGACGAGGGTGAAGTCACCTTCGACGCCGACCACCAAGGAATCCCGCGTCTCCTCCGACTCCTCCTCCAGCACAGCGCCGGCGCTCGCCTCCAGCGCCACTACCCAGATGCTCGCGCCCGCGACGACGGCGCCGAGCAACCCCCTCCAGCAAGCAGACGAGGTGCAGCACCAACCGCTCCGCGGTCGAGTCTTCGCCGTCACCGGCGGCGCCAGCGGCATCGGCCTCGCGACGGCCAAGATGCTCGCTCGCCGCGGCGCCGTCGTGTGCGTGGCCGATGTCGACCCGGAGGCCCTCAAGACCGCGGCCGCGTGGTTCCAAGAGAGCCACCAGCAGTGTGACTTTGAGCGCGTGGACGTGTCGAAGCGCGCGCAGGTGGACGCGTGGATCGCGGGCGTGGTGGCGCGCCACGGCCGGCTCGACGGCGCCGCCAACGTGGCCGGCGTCATCGGCCGGTGCCACGGCGTCGCGACGGTGGCGGAGCTGGAGGACGAGGACTGGGACAGCATCATCGGGGTGAACCTGACGGGGACCATGTACTGCATGCGCGCGCAGCTGCGGAGCGTGGAGCGCGGGGGGTCCATCGTCAACGTGTCGTCCATCCACGGACTCAAAGGTGCGTTGCCGGCAAGAGGAGGAGGAAGAGGAGGCAGCATCCGCTAACCAGGACAGGCTTCGCGAGGCACGCGGCGTACGACGCGAGCAAGCACGGCATCGTGGGGCTGACGCGGGCGGCGGCGCTGGAGAACGGCGACCGCGAGGTGAGGGTCAACAGCGTGGCGCCGGGGGCGGTGTACACGCCGCTGATGCAGAAGAACTGGGAGTGCAGCGGGAGGCCGGCGGACGCGCCGTTTGACGAGCCGACGGCGTTTCGGCGGCAGGGCACGGCGGAGGAGACGGCGAGTGTGATTTGCTTCCTGCTCGGGCCGGAGAGTTCGTTTGTGAGTGGTAGCGTGTACCAGGTGGACGGGGCGTGGATGTAGCGAGAAGGGGGGGGATACCATTTTTGCATACTCGGTGCTATATATATAAAGATGAATATATACATGTATATTTTATATTTACATATTCCCGATTGCCGCAAGTTACAATGTTGGCCAAACTTGGGCTTGTAAAGGCGGGGGTGCATAGAGGCCCTTTTTAGCCCTGCCTGCCTGCCTCTTGGGATAGACGTCCATCTCCATATTGTCCAAGCACAAGCCCCAATGAATGTGAGCCCCAAGTCAAGGTCCAGCAATGAATTGCCAGTTACCAGGTCAGCATGGCGATAATACATAATACATCACTTGGTGCATCTTGGATGCTCTTTGTCCAACTAGCTTCACTCTCTAGGCTATTTAGTTCTTTGGTTATTTAGTTCATTGGTATTTAATGGCTGAGACCCTTGGCCCCATCCGGATACTTTAAACTGTTGCGGTTCAGGACGATGGCTTCTCATTGGTGGGCCCATCGCAAGACAAAAAAAGAATGAATCGCCCATTAGTCTTGGGTTTTTCTTTCGAGTGCGGCGCATCTCCGAATAGCAAAAAGCAACGGGTGGCGAGAATGCGCTTTCCCATCCCTCACCCCTCATTCCTCATCCCTCATCCCTCATTCCCCTTCCCCGCTGCTTGCCTCATCTTCCACAATATCGATCGGCATGACCTAATCACTCTCTGGAGCCTCCTCCAGCGCAAATGATAGGATGTTTCGCTGCCGCACCCGTCTCTTCCTTCTCTTTCCATCAGACCCATCCTCCTCCCATGCTTGGGTGAGATGCCACCACAGCATCACCCATCCGATACAAGCACAAGTTTGAATCGCCAAGTTACCATGTCGCCCGGCGGACCTGCAACGCCCGGCGGCGCTTGTCAACTTTGTCGCCAAAAGAAGCGCAAGGTAACAAGATGCCTGCTTCCCTTTGCTCCCGGCACCTCCGACGAGAGGACGCTGCTCCTCCTACCTCCCATGGGCTGGACTCTTTTTTTCTAAGAAAAAAAGAAAACTTTTCTTTTCGCGCCTTTCCTTCTTTCCTTCTTTCCTTCTTCTTCGCTTGGCTGACTCTTCCCCCCTACCCGGTAGTGCAACGGCGACGGCTCGAACCCATGCGAAGCCTGCCTCGATAGGGACGCCGACTGCGTCTATCTCGTCCCTTCCCGCGTCTCCAAGGCCGACCTGCGCGACGAGGTGGCAAGGCTGCAGTCCGCCTCGTGCGACAACGAAGCCATCCTCGACACAATAGCCTCCAAGGACACGAGTCCCGCCCAGCTGGACAACATATTGCGCCGACTCTCTGGCGGCCAGCCGCGCGCTCAGGTCGCATCGCTCGTATCCAACTGGCCGGTCGCCCCGAGTCGTCTCGGAACAGGTAAAACAAGATGATGCTCTTCCTCGTCTCTGCGATAGTAGTAGCCCTTGCGCGAGTTGGTTCCATCCCTTCGTCGACATCTACGTGGCTGGTACTGACCAGGCTTTGCTTCTCTCGTCCCTGCAGACTCGTCATGGGAAACGCCCTCGTCCCTTGCTGCGGCCACGCCGCCATCCGATGCCCTGCCCACGGAGCTGGTAAGCTCGCAGTCCTCGACGAGCCCTCCAGGTCTTTCCGGCCGCGGGCCCTCGCCCAACCTCGCACCCCCCCAAGATCCTGCCAAGGCGACCGAGTTCCGTGCCAACCTCGGCCACTGTCGCTCCCAGCTGCCCCAGCTGCTCAGCACCATCCTCGCCCGAGACTGCCTCTTGTTCTGCCCGATCAGCGAGCCTGACCTGAAGCGCGACTTTGCCCGCGACTCTGCCACACACTGCTCCGCCGCTCTCGTCGACTCGCTCCTCGCCCTGGGTACTCTTGCCGCCAAGGACCATGCGCACCTCGCCACGGCCCTCGCCGCACCCGGCACTGCCATTGATCCAGACAGCCTGGCGCAAGCCTTTGCCCACGAGGCCATGTTCGCCCTCGACAACGGCACAGGCCGCCCCCGACGCACCGCAGATATTCAAGCGCTTGGCGTTCTCTCGCTCTACTATGTCAGCTGCTATCGGCTGAAGCAGGCGACAGAGTTCGCTGGTGACTTTTACGTCGCGATAGCCGAGCTCTGGCGTGCCGACAGGTCAAGCGAGACGCATGCTAGTAGCCGCCTAGATAAAATAGAACACGCAGGCCTCTATTGTGCTGCCGTCTCGTTAACTCGGTGCGTCGCTGCTTCGGCTTGCCCCCGGCTAACAACCATGACGATTGCTAACCATCCTGTCCTTGTTAGAGTTCTCTTCCTCATTTTGGACTACCACAAAACCTTGGACGCCTATGCAAGGAGCGTTGGCATCACTCCTATCCAGGCTGTCCAAGATCCTGAGATGCCTGCTGTCCCGTGGCAGGTCGGGGTATCGGACACGCCAATCATTCATTAGTAGACTCACCAATACACTCGTTTAGATGATGCCTTCTTCCGCAGGGACCTCGGGTCGATATCGGACGACCCTCTCGTAATTGCCGCCAAGCTATTCGAGCTGACTGAATGGGCGTATAATGCGCGATCCGGCACGCAACAGGCAACCTTTCACCATACTGTCCAAACATACCATCAAGGTCTACGCTGGTACGAGTCCTTCTTTCGATATACCAGCGGCTGTGGGGGACGTAACGCATCATTGATCGTCTTTGTTCAGTAAGCACCCCCTGTCTTCTGCGCGTGGAGGAGCCTTATGTTGGATGCTGGATGTTGATATTTCCGCCGGCTCGCTTCTGGAAGCTGACACGAACGTTTTCCTCAGCACATTCTATCATTTCTGCGTCTTGTGCCTTCTGACACCGCATATTCTCCAAACCGTCCCGATTGCGGTGGATGGGACACGCACCGAAGCGGTATGCAAGCAGGCCGCGGATAGCATATGCGAGCTCATCGAACACTATAGCCAAATGCACATGAGTGAGAAGTTGTTGGGATTCGTGCCCATGTTCAAATCGGCGGCCCTCTCCTCGCTGAGTATCAGTGAAGCAAGGGCTTGCAGGTAGATGAAATTCGACGGTAATGGATGCACATCTGTCCGGTGATGATGAAACGACGTCCCCGTGTAGTCTTTGATAACAGAGCAACAGAATGCCAGCCCTTGAAGAAAGAGGCATCCTCCTTGTAGTGTTGTGCTCATGTGACTAAGATACCCCTTTTGCATAGCAACTAAGCCCATGACGCAAGTCTGTCCGCGTCCATTACCTCACCTCTCCGTAGGCCTACTTTGGCTCGGCCGTAGGTTCAAGACCGTGATGTGCCGTTGTTGCGTCCATTACAGCGCAAAAGGCTACTAGGTCCACAGTCTCATATGCGCGTAGACAGGCCTGGCCGTACCTTGCGTTTCTTCTAAAAAGAAAAGAAAAACAGAAAAGCCGGGCGACAATGTCGGAGGACACCAGGGCGGGGGGGTAGCTATCCCTCCCTGTTATTCAAGTTGTCCCTACAAAACGCTCAATAACTAGACCAAATCATTCATTAGTAGGGTGCGAGGTTCCTGAAGCATCATGGTTGCGTCAACATTACAGGCGCCGGGGTGAAAGGGGGGCGCCGGGGGGGGCGCCACATCCCTCCATAATTTCCCGCGGCGTTGCCCCCTTGCATTCCTCCCCCAGAAACATGGCATCATCATCTTCCAAAAGAAAAGCATCTTTGATTGCATTGCTTTCCTAAGCCACCTTGTCCAAGGAAAAAAACCACCGTCCTGGCTGCCGTCGCGGCCGGCCGCCGGTGCCGCGGCGCTGATGTGGGGCGGCCGGAGCGAAGCACCCGACCGATCCGCGAACGAGGCGCGTGAGGAGAAAGGCACGGGCCTCGAAGGAGGGGCGGGCATGGCCGGGACGGAAGCGGCGGGCGGGAACGAGAGGCCCGCCGATCCGAGTCGCGAGGAGCCGGCGCCGCGGGAGGAGAAGGGCCGCCGGGACGGTGGACGTTGTCCGAGACGGGGCCCCCGTGGAAGTAGCCCTGGTCGGAGAAGGGGCACCTTTGACCAGCTACTGAAAGAGGTACTCTTGGGGAGAATACGAGAAAAGTAAAGGATAAAAAGGGGAAAGGAAAAAAAGCAAGGGCCGACAATACAACCGCTTGCTTGTGGCTTTGCGAGCCGGTCAGGAAGCTACCTGTCGTGTATCAATGCCCAGCGCATTTAAAGTTGAGAGCAAAAGTTACGAATCAATACCCCCCGGTCTTGTCCGTAGATAACTAGCACCAACGTGGCTAGCCACAATGGAGAGGTGCAGGGTAGGTAGTTGAGATGACACCTGGTGAGCGCCGGTTGCAAGCAACGCACTGGGTGTGCTGCAGCTGACAAGAACTGAAACGTAAACTAGCGGCTAGCAGTCGGCACCTAATCATGATCTGGGCGATCGGATGGATGGATGACTGGCTTCGGCACAAGATCGTGTGCACGGATTGTCTTGCCTCGGTCGGATGAACCGAAAGCAGAGTTGCCAAGGAAGGATGCTCGCACCATACCGCAAGGTACGGGGTAATAAGTGCGCAGTGAGGTGAGGGTAGCAGGTGATGATGATTCGGGGCTGCTTCGTCAAGGCTACGTACGGCTGCACAAACTGGCGATGGGCGAGCGCGAGTGCGAGTGCGAGTGTGAGTGAGAATAAGGTTAACGTGAGACCCTTGGCCACGGCAAGTTGAAACCGGGAACCTTGTTACGGAGGTAGATGGAGATGGAGATGGAGAAGGAGTTTTTATCGTCGTCTCTCATTTTGACTGCGCCACTCTCCTCTCTCCGCCTTATGCCTGTGGCTGAGAGGCCATTCTACCATTTTCCCATCGTGTAGCGACTGCCGAGGACCTGCCTGCTACGGGGAGCTCTACCGGGAACGCTGAAGATACCTGGCCAAGCACTAACGTTGTTTGGCCAAGCTTCTTCAGCACCGTCGACTGACTGCAACGAACGCCAAGTTCAAGTTGTTTAGTCGCACCTGGCAACTGCCCAGCCAGGCCTAGGTCGACCGAACGCCTTCAACAAAGGCACTCGAGCCTTGCTTTTTTCAAGCTTTCTCCTACCCCCGAGTCTTCCCCCGCTCCTCACCATCATTGACTACCTAAGCTTCCTCGCTTCTGCGACTGGCCTCTTGCTTTCTTCATCCTCATCCCACCTCGTCAACGGGCGCTCAGGCCGCCTCTGTCAACCCCGTCAACCCCGTCAACCCTGTCCGCCACCGCACCTCACCGCGCCGCACCGCACCTCGGATAAAATTCTTACAGCTTTCTCCTCTTCCTGTCCCTTCTGCGCCCGCCGCCTAGACATCACCGCGCCCGTTGGCGATGCCGCATGCCCGGCCTCTCGACGTCAATCATGGCCACCGACAGCGGACCTGACCCCGACTTCGACAGCCAGTCGCCCGCAGCGCCCTCGCCCTCAGACCCCCAGGAACACGCCCGTCCGCGCAAACGCACCCGTCGAGCCTGCGACAAGTGCAGCACCTCCCGCACGCGCTGCAATGGCGAGTAGTGAGTCTCTCTCTCAATGAATGCCGAGTGCGTCCCTGCCTCGACCCAGGTTGACATTTTCAAGCCCTTGCCGACGCTGTCAAGGTAAGACAGGAACTCTTCCGCGGAACCCCTGCCGGCTGCAGGCAACCGTCGCCGGCACGATGCAGCTCCCCGCATGCTCGGGACCCCTTGTACCGCCCCAATTGGACGCTTACAGCTCACAGACTACGGATATACGTGTCGCTACAATCGCGAGGTTAAGAAGCGTGGCCGCCTGCCCGCTTCAGCCTCCGCCAATGCGTCTGCCCACGCTGACACCGTGGCACATCCACTCGCGACGTATGCCTCGGGACAACCATCGTCACCGTCGCTTCTCTCACCGCCCGACATCACGGTCAACCCGCCCGCCTCATACAAGCCTACATCCGAACCGCCCCCCGAGCAAACCGTCTCGCCGCTCCCCAGCGCGCAGCCCTACGAGCTCCAACCCGCCCACGATGCGCGCTCGCAGCAGCGCATCTCCGCTGCTCTCAACGTCTCTTCCCTGGTTCACCAAGCGCCGGCGGCGCATCGATACTCCCACGGTACGGCGGATGGCCACTTCAAGAGGCCCCGCCTCCACTTGGGACCCGTCATCGGCCCCGACGGCCAGCCTGACCCCGAAGTCCTCGTCTCCGACGACAGCGCCGGCTACCCATCGCCCGCCAATGGCCAGACGCCCAACGACTATGGCCCCGGATACCGGGGATACCAGCCGCGGCCGTCTACCAGCAACCATCACCGCCATCGAGACTCGCTCGGCGGTGCTAGCGCGACCGAGACAAACTACGACTACGGCACCAAGGCCCCGACCGAAGATTGCAGTTACAAGTTCCTGCATCCCGTCCTCCCATACATCCGCAGCATCATACCGGCATCCGTCGCCTGCGACCTTCTTGAGATCTTCCTCACCGACCCGGGCAGCTCGCTCTTCCACGGCGCCTCCCCATACATCCTCACCCGAATATTTCGCAGACGCTCGATCCTGCACCCAACCCATCCGCGGCCGACCACCCCGGCGCTCCTGGCCACGATACTGTGGTGCGTCGCGCAGACGGCCGACGTCATGATCCTCCACGTTCCCGGCACCAGGGCCAAGATCGTCAACCAGCTGTACGAGCTAGCCACCTCGCTGGTGGCCGCGCGAGACCCGGATCGGTGGCGGCGCATCCACGGCGGCCTGCGCGCGGAGCACGAGGCTCCCCATCCCACTGTGGCGACGGCGAGCGCCGTGCCGACCCTGACGGTCGCCAACGAGCCGGCGGGCGTCGTCGACGACGTCTTGACGTATATTCTGCTCTCCATCGCCGTTTCCGGAGGGGACTTCAAGTCGGACAGCCACAAGTGGTGGTCCAAGGCGACGCGGTTGGCCTTTTCGCTCAAGATGAACAGAGAGGATGAGAGATGTCCGGGACCGCTCTCGCCGTGCGCCAATCCGCTATGCGCATGTCGTCGTGAGCAGGAGACGCTGACGCTGCAGTCTCTTGAGAACAGGGAGGAGCGTCGTCGCGTGTTTTGGCTACTGTATAGTCTGGACAGGCACCTGTCTCTCTCATTCAACACCATTCTTAGCATCCCGGACTCATACTGCGAGGTCTTTAGTACGTACTTGTCTCTTACCTGCCGTTCTTGGCTAATGAATTGCAGCACCTTTACCGGAATATGTATGGGAAAACCTCGATTCCATACCACTGAACGAGTTACCTGTCCGCCACGTAGGACCGCCCACGCAGGCCTCGGGTACCAGCTTCTTTGAGTCCTTTTTGCCGCTGATGGCCATTCTCGGCGACATCATCGAGCTTCACCACCGACGACACCACCCTCGCCTCGGCGGTCTCGACGACACGCATTCTGTCGCGGTCATCTCGAAGCTCCTCGCCGACTTTGAGATGAGTCTGGAGAGTCTTGGCCGAGAGGGCCGGCGCGCGCTCAACGAGCCGACGGTGGGTATCAACGGCGGCCTGCCCCCCATGGACACGACGCAGCAACCTCGCGGCGACGACTCGCGCGTCGGTCTCGTCAAGGCCTACAGCACGCACATCCTGCACGTGCTGCACGTGCTGCTGCACGGCAAGTGGGACGCCATCTCCATGCTGGACGACGGCGACGACTGGATCACTTCGAAGCGGTTCACCGAGTGCGCCTCGCACGCCATCTCCGCGTCACAGTGCGTCTCGGCGATCCTCGCGACGGACCCAGAGCTCACCTTCATGTCGTACCTGTTCGGCATCTACCTGCTGCAGGGCAGCTTCATCCTGCTGCTCTTCGCGGACCGCATGCCGCAGCTGGGGCCGAACGAGTCGGTCGAGCAGGCCTGCGAGAACATTATCCGCGCGCACGAGGTGTGCGTGGTTACGCTTAATACGGAGTTTCAGGCAAGTCTGGTCCAGAGGAAGAAGGGTAGGCGGGTGGGAGTGCTAACGATGGTGGGAATATAGAAAAACTTTCGAAGGGTGGTGCGGTCGACGCTGTACTCAGTGCGCGGCGCGGGCACGACGAACCTGGAGGAGCACCGGGCGCGGCGGAGGGCGCTGTCGCTGTACAGGTGGACAAAGGGGGCTCGGGGGTTGGGCCTGTAATTTACGGTGGCCATCTGACGATGCAGCATCAACACTATGTACATATATCTCCGGGTGCCAGCTTGGAGGCTGGGAGGGTCATCATTCCTTGCCGTCTAATCTACTTGGCCGTAACCCCTGTGCATGAATCTACTGCTTCGCCGCGATGATGCCGGCGTCCTGGAACTTGGTGAACCGGCGGACGTCCCTGACCACCAGCCCGGCGCGCGCCAGTGTGCCTCCCGGCGCTCCTGCGCGTTGAACATGGCCTCAATGGCGATGCCCCGGCCAGCCGTGTACTCGACGCCCGGCGCATCGCATCCGTGGGCGGCGCGTCGTCATCGTCGGGCAGGCATTTGTCGTCGATGACGAGGACGCTGGCGGGCACCCATGGCGGGAAGCTGGGCGCGGAGGATGCGCACGCAGGTGTCGTCGTTGTTACGCATGATCTGGCGGAAGTAGTAGACGCGGGCGTCTTGCGACGCCGGGGCAACTTTCCTCGGATACCGGACACTCGCAAGATTGAAGAGGAAAACATCCCCGGTTACGTTTCCGCTAGATACTACCCGACGCGCACCGGACAAGTACTTCAGGACCGCTACCAAGTTGTGGGAAAGCTGGGGCTACGGCGCTACCCTCTACCGTCTGGCTGGCGCGGGACATGCAATAAATATTGCCGTCCGCTTCTTCTAGAATGCTTTTGAACGGAAAAAAAAAATTCAGACATTGGAGATATGATGCTCTGAAGATGTTTATTCGATCTGCGTCCATGGGGCCAGGCCCTACAAGATGAGCTGCGCATCTGCAAGCACATCGACAACACACACCGCCACAGAACACCAAGGACGCCGCTCCGCGGTGAGACTTCCGCTAGACGCGTTCACCATCCATCGGGCCGGAGCCTGGGCACGAGCACCAGTGCCTTATGATACATGCGCCGCTATTCGAGAATGTCTGCAGGTTTCTCCACCGAAACCCCATCCAGAGACTGCCCAAGACAGTGCTTGCATGCATTCTCCAGCGTGTCTTCTTGGCCTTGGATTATCTACACACAGATTGTCAGGTCATCCATCCGGTAAGGTAAGCCGCGCTACCCTTCCCTCGTCACGTTGCGAATTGACTCTCTCTAGACATCAAGGCAGACAATATCATGTTTCAGTTCTGCGATGACTCTGTTCTCATCGACTTTGAGCAAGGCGAACTCCGAGCACTCTCCGACGAAAGAGCTAGACGGGGGATGTGTTTATCTGTCACGGAGGCTTTCAATGCCTAAAAGAATAGGCGCACCTGTGCTTTGTGATTTTGGATCCGCAGTTCATGGCGGAGTGACGCACATGGAAGATGTACAGCCGAATATTTAGCGTGCGCCCGAGGTCATCTTGGGGGTGCCCTGGACGTGCAGCATTGACAGTTGGACCGTGGGCTGCATGGTAAGCGAGACAACTAGCAACCCCCTACCGAACCGCGCTGACTGACCACAGATATGGGACCTCTTTGTAGGCTGCTTCCTCTTCACCGGCCAGGATCCGGAGCTGAATACGTACAGGCGCCGGGCCCACCTCGCCGAAATCATCGGCTTTCTTGGCCCTCCGCCGCCGGATCTTGTCGCCCGAGGCCGTCTCAGCTACAAGTACTTTGCGGATGGCGAATTTCAAGGAAGCCCGTTGCACATGTCCACACTGGAGCAAAGAGAGACGACGCTCGACGATGCGGAGGACAAGGCGGACTTTTTACGCTTCATGCGACGGATGCTGCAGTGGGGGCCCGAAAAGCGTAGCTCTGCGAAAAGTCTGGCTCGCGATGACTGGATAGTCAGGCAGTTGGGGTAGGCATGATTGAGGTGCTCCTTAGAGGGTGAAGGTGTGATAAGGGTGCGTGATTCAGCCGCCGGCCCGCCTCGGCGCCTCCTGTCCGGATCTGACCCTGCATTCCCTACACTGGCGGCATCACTCACTCAAGTCCCCCGATACAGCTTCGGGTCGAGGCTCCTTCGCCCAAAGCCCGTAATCCCAGCTGTCAGTGTATACGCACCACCTAGCCATGAACCTGGAGAGCGCGAAGCCCGACAACACCTACGAGCGGGGACCGGCTTGCCCGCAGCACATGTACATTCACGTAAGAAAGCTGACTAGCCAGCGATAAAGACTGGCCGCCCTTCCAAATACGCCCCGCGGACGCGACGCCGAGTCCAGTGCGGCAACGACGTCTTCCATCGAGGTCAACTCCCCAGACCAGCAACCGAGCATCACGCTGTCCAAGCGCAGGCCCCGAACGTCCGGAAATCGTTTCTCGGACCAGAGGCGCCGCGCGACCTTGTCGCGATCGGCGACCTCGGCCAGCTCGAACAAGGTCGTCTTGCCTGTGAGAATCTGGTAGACGACGCAGCCATACGCAAAGATGTCGCTCTTCGTGTCCACCGACAAGTCCCGTCGGTTGTGCCACTTGTATGCTGCGGTGCCGTCTTTTCCATCCATCGCGCAGCCTTCAAAATCAATTATCTTTACCCTGTTTTTGACAAGGACCATGTTTTCACAGCCAACGTCACCGTGAACGATATTGTGTTTGTGAATGTGCAGCAACCCTTCGGCCAGGTCTTTGATCCAGGCCTCGCGGTCTTGCATCCGAATGTCCGATGTTCCGCTCAGCGACAGCAAGGGTATGCCGCGCTCAAGAACGATCGATTTTTGATCCGCATTGCCGTAGTATGCAATGATGTTGGGATGCGGGCCAAGTCGGTCCAGGGCCTTGCGCTCCTCAGCGCCGTCCTCAGCATCGTAGTACTCCTTCAAGACGCGATGTTCGTCAATGGCGTAGACGACGCCGGATGTACCATGTGCAATAAACTTGAGCTTGTTGAAGTCGACAGGCAGTTGCGAACCTTGGTCACAGGTATGCGCTAGCCTAGAGGTGGAGGTCATGCTATTTTGTGACGGTTAGGTCATCGGCAGTCATTAAATTCGCGGTTGGAAGAAGCTCACGTCTTCATATATCTCGTCACCAACAGATGTGCCCGAGTCGCGGCAAAACCTGCACGGCCCTCGTCGATGAGAATCCAAGTGGATGCCCAAAGACTGATCATATGTTGCCTCAGCACAGCGAGGGCCAGGCTTCGGCCGTTCCGTACACCGTTTATGGAGACGCTTGACAATCTTGTGCGGCGGATTTCTCACGCAATTGTCATGCACAATGTTCGCAGTCGTATATGTGCACATAATATAAAGGATATGAGAACGCGCGATGGAAGCTGATGTGAGGAGGTAAAATGCAGACGGGAAGAACTCAGCTGGGAGCAGAGGTTCTAGGTAGCCATAGAGTCACGTGATGTACCGAGCAGGATATCAGTCAAACGATGAGGCTGGCAAGAAGGATCGGGCCCAATTCATATCGAATGCTCTGCAGGGCTGGAAAGTCAGTATTATTTCCCGAACCGAAAAACTGCGTTCTTTGCAGCATCTCAGTGTGCAGCTCTCAACAGAGGCTAGTAGAAGGCACTGATGAGCGCCGACCCAGTTGGCTCTCGGTGGCCCAGCCAGCCTCTGTAAGTACTGTATGTATATACAAGGTAGGTAGATAGGCCCTTGGTGATGCAAAATTATTCGGCCAATTTACTTCTGCCAACTCAATGTGAGCAGAACCGTTCGTTGGTGGAACCCGCCTCAGCCGACTTGTAACAGCTTGCAGTGTATGAGAAGCTATTTTTTGTGATGCATTGGTCATGATAGTATAAGCCTTACTTGCATCGCCAAGAACTTTTAATCAAGGACTGCACCGTATAAAGCGGAGTATTTGTATCCTGCATGATATTATCCCCGCAATCAGACCTAGAGTAGTCAATCAAGAAATGTCAGGCCGCCTCTAAAAGGCTGGAAAATGTTGCGCAGCACCACTTTATCAGCTCATAAAAATGATGCTGCATGCTATGATATTGATGATTAACGGCATCGCGAAAGCTGAGTATTCACCAAGCGTCATTTTGTTGCGGATGTGGGATGCTCTTCAGCTTACCCTACGATAATCTAATCATGCCATAATCACACGCAAAGTCCAGATCAAGGCTACAATGTCCATCTCCTCGATCACAATTCTTAGCAGAGTCTACGGGCATGCTGAGCAACTGACTGGAAATCTATTTAACTGGCCCGAATCCCCCAGTAGATGTAGGCTAGAGCAGAGAACAAGCACCTCAAAATCCCGCCCATACCACAACAATACTTCTCACGATGAAGCCCTTCACCCAGCTACTGACGGCTCTTGCTATGGGCATTGCCTGCCCAGTCGCAGCCAGCTGTAAGTGTATAAGCTGTTAATCTGTGCCAACATGTTCTGACATGAGTGTGTGTGCACAGCTGTTCCGTTTGAACGGCTGAACGTCAATGACACGGTGAGCACTATCATCCCTGAAGAAGGTCCGCATACTGATGTTTGCAGGTGCTCCTAATCGTGGACCATCAAGTTGGTTTGTTTGACTTTGCTCGAGACTTTGATGGCGGCCTCTTCTTCCACAACATGGTCACCCACGCATCCATCGGGGAGCTCTTTGACATCCCCGTCATCATGACCACCTCTGACGAGACTGGTAAGAAGTCGCGACCCAAGCACGGCACCGTTCTATGCTTGAAGTGTTCCATTTGTTGAGCTGACGCTTCTTCACTTCTCAGGCCCCAACGGCCCGCTTCCAAAGGAGATCCTCGACATGCATCCCAACGCGACTCTGATCAAGAGGCCCGGCGAGGTCAACGCATGGGACAACCCTGACTTTCGGGCCGCCGTCCAGGCCACGGGCCGCAAGCAGATTGTTCTGGCCGGAATAGTCACCGACGTCTGTGAGTTGGCTTCATAGCATTCTGGCAGGAAGAACCAGGAAGAACTGGCACTGGCGCCTAGGCGTGACGTTTCTGTCACTGTCCCTCCGGGAGGCCGGCTACAGCGTCTGGGCCAACGTCGAGGCTTCCGGGACCGTGTCGCCGCTGATCCGGGACGTGTCCAACGCGCGGATGCAGGAGGCGGGCGTGCAGCTCGTCGGCATCTTCAGCATCGTGGCCGACCTGTTCCGGGACTGGCGCAACCCCAAGCCCAACGCTGCGGAGTTCCGGGCCTGGACGGACAAGTACGCCCCGCAGTACCAGATGCCCTCGCGTCTTTACGACGCTGTCAAGGGCAGCCGACAGTCCTGAGGCGCAAGTCAGTCTATAAGCCTGCGACAGCAGTGTCGTGGCTAGGACTTGCCATGAAGCAGCCAGTATAAGAGGGGGAGAAACTTGGTAGAAGCTAACTATAGGGTGCGGTTGCGTTCTACAGGCATTGGCAACAGAGGAAACGATAGCTGGCAAACGTGAAAGGGAGTGCGAGGTGTGCTTTAAAGTTCATAGATGGACAGAGAAGAATGCTAGAGACTATTGCGCTTCTTTTTTTTCCTTTCCCAAAATTTTATTCATACGGTAAATTTCTAGTCGCATTTCAAGAATACGGCCTGGTCACCATTCAGGGAAAGAAAAAAGCCGCAGACAATACGCGGCAGGGATTTTCCGTCAAAAAATTTAGTTAGTTCACTTGAATTTATTTAATGTGGAATTCCTGTCAGACATCTTTGCTGAGCAGGAGGAGAATGGCCGGGTGCATGGCTTGAGACCGGCCAAGGCTCCTGAGGTGGACTGGATGGACTGGATGGAGGAACTACCCTGAGCAAGGGGACGAGTCAAATGACTACTGCATGGCATTCGTCTTCTCTTCTCGGTACGAATCACACTTGTATGCTATAGAGACACTTACGCCTGCGTGTGCTCCAACACGACGATGGTTTCGTGCGGGAAAACGCCTGCGTGATTTCGCTTCGGATTCGATTCGATCCACCCTGCTGCTCTTGAGCCCAGACTAACTAGGAAGACTCAACACGATAAATACGAAGAGGTTAAGAAGAGCCAGCTTGCGCGGATATTGCTCCATTTTCCGCGCGAGGGTGCGACGGTGTGGCGGCTTCAACGCCCCAGTTTCTCTCTCTCTTGCTCTCTCTCTCCTTCCCTATACCTCTCAGCCTGGTCAGCCATGATCAATGTGTTCATGGCCAGAGATGGCTGGCAGAAGGAAATGCAATTTTTAGTTGCCTTCGTTGACCTTTGAGACTCGGCGATTCTGCAACTGAACCCATGTCAAGGTTCTTCCGTCATCCCGGGTTCGTGCTCAAAAACCTAGCTCATGCCTTTGATTGATTAGATGTGATTGATAAAAGGTCACCCACAAGTTCGACTTTTATTAAGCTTAAGCCGTTGGAACGCCACGAAAAGGCAGGGCGCCGAATCACCACGCGACCTGCAGGGACTTTGCCCCCACAATCTCCAGATAACTAGAAGAAGCTGAAAAAGAAATTTCTCGGTAGCAGTGAATAAGACCGATATTGCCGAGTGATCTATTGAATATAATCTTTGCTGCAATCATGTGTTGTTTCCTCTGCACTGGTTAGTTTTTCACACGACATTCGTTGTACTTGGCCTCTCCCCATCACTTGCTAGGAAGCATCCCATGTTTTCTGTGCTCAACAGCTGAGAATTCGAAATGAAGTCATTGGGCCATGTTGAAGTGCAGCGTATTGCGCCGGGAGAAGACGGAGAGAAGGGGCGCGACCAAAATGCGAGCCTGGATCACGGACCGAGCCGCAATCCATGCGACCCGGGAAGCGTCAACGAACAAGAATACCAGGCAGGCGTGCACAAGGCACTGGCTTTGAACAAGGCATGGTCGCGAACGACTCTGATCATCGCCTTCTCCAGGTACGAGTCTCCCGCGCGTCTGCCAACGGATACCCGCAGCGAAGCTCACACATCTACACAAGTCTCTTCATCACGACGCTGACCATTACCTTCTCGGACTACTCGGGCATGGTCGTCGAGCCGTACGTGACCAGCTCCTTCAAGAAGCACTCCGCCATGAGCGCCGCCCACGTCGTCGTCAACATCACGCGCATCATCGCATACCCGGTCATCGCAAAGCTGAGCGACGTAACCCCCCCCCCCCCTGGCGCAACCTGTTGAGGATGTGAGCCGACTGACGAACTGACTAGGTCTTTGGGAGGGCCGAGATGTTTGCCCTTTCCATCTTCTTCCAGACGCTCAGCTACATCCTCTTCGCCACGAGCCAAAACATCGGCAACTACTTTGTAAGCCCTCCCCCCGCCCCTCCGTGACCAACGTCCTGCGCTGACGCGCAGCCCCCATCTGGCAGACAGCCGGGCTCTTCGACGCCGTAGGCTCGACCGGATTCGGCCTCACGCAGCAGGTGTTCATCGCCGACTCGACCAGCCTCGTCGACCGCGCCTTCTGGTCCACCCTGCCGGAGACCCTCACCACCATACCGGCGCTCTACCTCGGTTCGCTCATGGGGCAGAGCTTCCTCACCCGTACGGGGTGGAGGTGGGCGTACGGCACCTGGGCGATGGTCGTGCCCGTCGTGTCCGTGCCCCTCATCGGCACCGTGATGGTCCTCCAGCGCCGCGCCGCGAAGCAAGGCCTGCTGCCGCCTGGAGGCCCGGCCGCGGCCGCGGCGCCGTCCGCGTGGGGGCGGCTGCGCCGGCTCCTGTGGACCGAGATTGACCTGCCGGGCCTGGTGCTCCTCGTGGCCGGGCTGTCTCTGATCCTGATCCCGCTCTCGCTGACCGGGTCCTTGAACCCCGGCCGGTGGAGGGAGGCGTCCTTCATCGCCATGGTCGTTGTCGGCGCCGTGCTCTTGGTCTCGTTCGTTGAATGGGACGTCAAGTTCGCGAAGAGGCCGTACATCCCCGCGCGCATGGCCAATCGCACCGTCATCGCCGCTTGCCTGATTCAGGTATTTGACTTTATGGAGTACAGCCTGTTCACGATATTCTTCTCGAGCTACTTGCAGGTCGCCGGCCACTACTCGCCCGCGCACGCGACGCGCATAGAGTGAGTGTACACGAGAGACCTCCGGGAGCTCCGGCTAACCGCGCATGCAGCAACTCGCTCCGGGTGGCCTTTCAGGTCAGCGGACTGTTTGTGGCCCTCGGCATGAAGTACACCAGGAAGTCGCGGATGTGGGCGCTGATGGGTCCTCCGCTGGTCATCATCGGCCAGGGCGTCATGATCTACCTGGTCAACCCGGGCGGGGACCGGAGATCCGGCGAGGCCGCGTTCGTCGCCTGCAAGGTGATTTCGGGGATCGGACGGGCGCTGTTCCAGACGGCCGCGCAGGTCTCGGTGCAGGCCGCCGTGTCACAACAGGAGGTTGCCGTCGCGACGAGTCTTTTCCAGGCCGGTAACAGCGTGGGCGCCGCGCTGGGGACAAGGTGCGTTGAAACAAGCCGGTGCTCGCCGTGGTAGTTCAGAAGTGCTTCTAACAAGATTTGGGTAGCGTGTCCGGGGCGATATGGCGCAACACCCTGCCGGACAAGCTGGTGGAGTACCTTCCGGAGAGTGACAAGGGCAAGGCAATGAGCATCTTCCAGTCCATCGTCAACGCGAAGAAGTACGAGATCGGCAGCCCGGTTCGCCTGGCCATCGACCGGAGCTTCCGCGAGTCCCAGATGCTACTTGCCATTGTCGCGACGGCCTTGTGCGTGCCGAACCTGGTAATAATGTGGTTCATCAAGAGTATTACGTTGGAGGACGAGAAGAAGGAGCAAGGAGAAGAGTCAGAGGCCCCAGGCGAGGGTGGAACAAGAGCCTCAGAGAAATGATAGAGTCGTCGATGCTACACGTGAGGCAAGACAAGACTTATCTCGAGGTCGGAATTTTAGCAAACTCGTAGCTAGTCTTCAGAAGTACTGGCAATAACGGTGATTGGGGCAACGGGGTTCTGGTGCTTTCCATCGCATCAGTGGCGCAGGCTGTCGCGCGACAGACGCGGAGTGTAAAGACATGGATGGGCAAGTGTCGCCTTGTTATATGTATATATACGTATATACATAGTTATGGATTTTGCCAAGTTGTCGTCAGCTCTGCTGAAACTATCAGCCCCGTTGTTCCGCCTCGACCTACAGTCCGGGCTGTAGGGTTGACTACTCAACATCAAACCCAAGGAGCTCGACATGCCTTCCGAGCTGGAAACTTGGCGCCCAGCCTGCGCCGAGTATGTAACATGTAACTTGTCTGCATTCACATGTCCAAAAATATTATTCATCCGTTCTCCAGGGCAGTTTATCCTTCCGCAACTTCCGCAGGGTCCACTATTTAAGGCTGAGTCGCCAGTCGTCCCACGGAATGATTTAGACTCTATAGAGTAGCTATAACTAGAGTATAGAGCATACATAGCAGAGCATAGCCATATCGCCTAGATTGACGACTGCCGACTGGGGTGCTTGGCATGGATACGCAGGAACGAAGAACGGCAGCCCCTTGAAGGTGCGTCGCCTATTCAGCGTGACTAGCTGCAACTCCACAGCTTTCGCTTTCCCCGTGCCCGTGCTGCGCATCAGCGGGCCCGAAACAATGAGGTGAATATGATGGGCACCGTGATAATAGCTCAATGCAATGACTTGGGATGGTAGTGCCGACCCGGCTCATAGCGAGCGCGATGAAACAGGAAAGTGCTCGTCAATCCCCGTTCCTGCCGTGCTTGTTTTGGAATCCGCATGCTCTATTTCTAAACAGGGACAATTGGTGAGATGCATAGAGGCCGGGAATTCCGTGGCGGATATAGTGAGACCCAACAAGGTGACGCCATGCACATACGCTGTTGGCCACTGCATAACCTATAGCCTGGCCTCGCGAGTCAATTGCCAAGCACGGGCTGTGCACGCCTTCGTCAGCCTATGCTGAGATGAAAGGTACGCCTGTCTCGCAAATTGGTAAGCATTATACTATCCTCTGAGGAATTAAGGTTTATGCTTCGTGGATATGGTCTGATGGAAAATACAGGGCATTCCGCCAGGGGTCGCAAGCCACTGACTGACTTGTCCTGAAGCATCTTAGCTGCTGTAGGGCATCTCCGGTCAAGTAAGCCATGACCAAGATCGGTTGGAAACCAACAAAGGAAGGATCGCCACTATGCCCAGTCTGCCCAGTCTAAATCTCGGCCTCCCACGTTGGCATCCCGCGCCGCCTCCGCTGGACCTTCCGGAATAGGCGCACGATGACGACCAGCCCTTTTGCTGGTTATGCCACGAGCCGGCTCGGAATGATCTGCTGATAGGACTCATCAGTTATAAATAAAGCTAGTGCCGTCGATGTCTCATCCAGAAATCCCATCCCTCGGACATCAAATTCGCTTGCCTCACACTACCACTGACAAGGTTTTCATTCATTCACTAGACAAGCAAGTTTCGAGAGACACATTCTTTTACACACCCGAGCGAAAAACAACCCCCCTCCTCCATCATAATGCCCTACGCTACCAAGACGAGACGCTCCAAGATGCTACCTATCAGCCTCGCCGTCGCCACCCTCGCCAGCTTCGCCCTCGGCGACCCTCTCTTCCGCCGCGCCCCCACCGTCGAGACGCGGACGCTCGACGAGATCTACCAGGCGGCCAAGAAGGAGGGCAACACGGTTACTGTGTGGCACGGCGGCGACGAGAAGAACCAGCAGGACTTCCTGAAGCAGGAGTTTGAGAAGAAGTTCCCCGACATGACGCTCAACATCACCGTCGACCTGTCCAAGTACCACGACGTGCGCCTGGACGAGCAGCTGGCCGCCAAGAACGTCTTCGTCGACAGCATCATCCTGCAGACGCTCAATGACTACCCGCGCTGGGCCAAGGAGGAGGCCCTGCTGAGCTACGCGCCGGCCGGCTTCGACAAGGTCGTCCCGGAGTTCAAGGACGCCGACGCCTTCTGGTACGGCGTCTACGTCTTCTTCTGGTCCAACGGTTTCAACAGCAAGAAGCTGGGCGGCGCCGCCGCGCCCGCCGAGTACCCGGACTGGCTGAAGCCCGAGTTCAAGAAGAACCTGGTCCTGACCTACCCCCACGACGACGATGCCGTCCTCTTTGCCTTTGACCTGATGTAAGTCCCCTATCCCGCAACCCTGATTGGCAGTGAGTGGTCTAATATTCCCTGCAGCATCAAAGATTTCGGCGAGGAGTGGTTCGACAAGCTCCTGGCCCAGGAGCCCCGCTGGGTCCGCGGCACCGCCACGCCGGCCACCATCGCCGGCAGCGACGCCCACCCGGAGGCCGCCTTCTTTGCCACCGGCGGCGGCTTCGGCTCCGACGGCGCGCTCAACTTCTCGCAGCCGACCAAGGGCCAGTACGTCTCGTGGCCGCAGCGCGCCGCCATCCTCAAGGACGCCCCCCACCCGGAAGGCGCCAAGCTGCTGCACAACTTCATCCTCTCCGAGGAGTACCAAAAGGCGATGGGCACTTGGTCGGTCCTCAAGGGCTTTCCCACCCCCGCGGGCTTCCCGGACCTCGAGGGCAACAAGAACACGGATCCCAACGCGTTTGCCAAGTTCATGGAGGACCGTGGCGCGGTGGAGCGCAGACGGTTCTGGTATGAGGCCAAGATGGGCCCGGCGGTGGGCAAGAACCCGCGTGACGACGACATGTAAGTGACGATCCTGACTGAAGAGGACGGAGAAAAAAAGATTGCCTAACTTACACAAAAGCTAGTGGTGGTCCGTCGGGCGCTGACGCGGCGGCTCCCGCGCAGAACAACACCAAGGCCTGCCGTCCCAAGTCTGCTAAGCGCGCCATGCTCTGAGCGGGACTGGTGCTTCCACCGTGGTGGAAATGGTCAAGGTTCATTGCAGCAGTCAGCTGTTCGGTTGTACAGGAACTGGGTGAGTATTGTCCAATTAGACTTTCGGGGCTTCCCGCGATCGGCTGGAGGTGCCATCGAGACTATAGCAATTCATCCAAGTTCTTCCTACTTTTACAAAATTACTATATAAATCAGTGCCGGAATGTCAAGCACCTGCCTTGTTTGCTTTTTCCCAGGCAAGTGAAGGCAAAGGCCGTTTCCCAGCGTGGGGGTCTATTAGTGACGGCAATGACGGTCGCTTACGAGTCGAGACCAGCCCCGGCCAGATTGCCGACATGACGCTGCGCATTATGCATAACAGCGGCGCAGGTATTCCTACCTGTTTTGCCTTTTATTATTACGGAGATTTGGACCCCGTCCCGTCTCCAATTCGAGGTCCACCCTCCAACGTCCGACGCGTCCGGTGATTGGAGCCGCAGGGTAGCCCATGACTCAGTCAGACGAATAAAACTGGATGTTTCTTACGAGGACGAAACTCCTGGCTAGAAATGCTATAGTGTATCTTGCAAGGTCACTTTTCGAGTGCCACCAAGCAGGACGCCCTCCTTGGCTGGCATATGCGCTGCGTGTCTCGGACGCTTTACGACGACGCAAGCGTGCATCGATGCTATTATTGTAGAGATTGACTCAGATGGTACCGAAGACATCCTGCGCTCCCGAGCAAGACACTGTTACGTCGAGTTCAAGTATTCATTTTCACCATCATCATACTGCTCACATGTTATGTGTTCTCCTATTCGATCGCACCCGTCGCTGGCTGGCTCGTATCCCGGGGTCAAGTCATGGCCGCCCCGTAACACCAAGGTACGGCCTTTTGCTCGCAAATCTGCAGCTTACATGCAGAAAAGTCCGTCAACGGCTGGTAACACCGTCTCAATCCATTGCTCTTGATTTCATGTCAAATCTCCCCCGCAAACCCGCGTACAAATCCACAGCGGGTGACCGCCACTCCGATGTACCGCGTGGGGGAATCGCCGCGGGATTCTTTGTAGTTGGTAGGGTTACATTGGAGCTATGAACCCGTCACTCCGCGGACCGGCGTTTTATTTACTTGTTAATTATTACTTTCCAACTGCAGTAGTTGGCTTGGATCAACGGGATCCTGGCCTGTTGTGCATCCTGCTCCATTTACAGTGTCACCTACGTCAAGTGCCTCCGCGGGCATTCATCGTCTAGCACCAGCTGCCTCATGACTTGCGACTTGTCACGTCCGCGTAGCCGAGGAGGCACATGAAAATATATAGATTGGTTCAAGTGGCCCTTTCTGTAGTACTAGTAGCATGGAAGAATCATCTCACCTTTTCTACCTACTACTGTGCGCGTACCATCACCATGTCTTCTTCGCAGCACTTGCCACTTGATTCCCTTTCCTATGAGCTGCCACAACACCAGCCATTGTACTCTTTGCTGTGGCGGCCCATTGCCGGTCTAATCGCTTTAGTATGTAAACGACCTCAATCTCACCTACACAGAATCATGAGCTTACACTTCACAAGTCCATCATCTACCATGCCTACATCGTCCTCTACCGCCTCACCCTCCACCCCCTCTCCAAGGTCCCCGGCCCGAAGCTGCACGCCGCCTCGTGGTTCCCCTTCCTGTGGCAGACCAACGTCGCCGCCTCCGCTCCCCGGACCATTGAGGCCATGCACCGCAAGTACGGACCCGTCGTGCGCGTCGGCCCGGACCAGGTCGCCCTCGACGGCTCCCTTGGCTGGTCCGCCGTCTTCGCCCACTCCACCGGCTCCCGGCCCGAGTTCGGCAAGCCCTTCGAGCAGTACTTCCCCGGCGACACCACCAGCCTGATCGGCGCGCCGCGCGAACGCCACCGTCGCATCCGCCGCCAGCTGGCCCACGCCTTCAGCGCCGGCGCCCTCGCCGAGCAGGAGGCCACCGTCACGCAGTACGTCGACCTTCTCCTCGACCGCCTGCGCACGCTCGAGGGCGAGGAGTTTGACATCATCCCGTGGCTCAACTTTACCACCTTTGACATCATCGGGGACCTGGCCTTCAGCGACTCCTTCGGCAGCCTGGCCGGTAGCGCGTACCACCCGTGGGTGCTGTCCATCTTCCAAGGGATCCGCGGCAACGCGCTCCGGCGCTTCCTGCGGCACTACCCGTCCCTGGGCTTCGTCGCGGCGCGTCTCGGCCTGACGGGGGACTTCAAGGTGGCGGAGCACAACCGGCACACGGCGCGGGACAAGTCGGCGGCGCGGATGCGGCTGGGCGTGGAAGGGCCGGCGGGCAGAAGCGACTTCATGACGTACATGCTGCGCAAGACGAGGGCGGGCGAGGCGGCGATGGACGAGGAGGAGATCCTGTCGACGTCGCCGATCCTGGTCATCGCGGGCAGCGAGACGACGGCCACGGCGCTGGCTGGCTTCTTCTTCTTCCTGGCGCAGAACCCGGAGAAGAAGGACTTGATCGTCGCAGAGATCCTGGAGGCGTACCCGGACGAGGCAGATATTGACATGCGCAGCACCGCCAGGCTGGAGTACCTCCACGCTGCGCTGGAAGAGACGCTGCGTCTCTACCCACCTGTTACTGTGACGCCGCCGCGAGTGTCCCCCGGCGCCGAGGTTGGCGGATACTACATTCCGAAGGATGTAAAGTTTTCCTTCTTGCCTGTTTTGGACCTTGGCTGACTTGTGCAGACCCTGATTTCGGTACATCAGTGGGCCACGTTCCGCAACCCGGAAAACTTCCACCTGCCGGAGCAGTTCCTGCCAGAACGGTGGCTGCCGGTATCGCACCCGCGGTACGAGGCGCGCTTCGCCGACGACAACAGGGCCGTCTTCAAGCCCTTCAGCCACGGCCCGCGCGACTGCATCGGCAAGAACCTGGCCTACGCGGAGATGCGCCTGCTCGCCGCGCGGATGCTGCGCAGGTTCGAGGTTACGATCGAGGGCCAGGCCGACTGGCAGTCGAAGCAGCGCATGTTTGGGCTGTGGGAGAAGATTCCCTTGAATGTCCGGGTCAAGTCGCGGGCAAGCGCGAGGTAAGTGGTGCTAGGATGCATCACCTAGCCGTACCGGATGCTACCCTACATGAAATCAGAAATGATGTTGTTCTGCTCATGCAGAAAGAGAATGCTATTGTGAAAGGATCAAAAAGTTGTTGAAAGAACCCGAGTACGCTGTTCCTTGCTCAAGCACTTACTCGAGTCGAACCGTTGTTGCATACGCTGGATTTGGTTCCTCAAAACAAAACCCAATGGACTTGAGCGACTGTCTCAACGAGGATCTCGCCACTGATGACGCTACACATGCAGAAAATAAAGCACATCTATCTAGTTACTATACTGTAGCGTTTAGACGTGAAACACATGTACTCTCCTAACTTATAATAGGCTAAATGTCAGCGAAATACTTTGACATGACCGGGTACTTGGGTCTGCCACCCCGGATCGTGGGCGGCGACGGCCTCGATGCCGGTCCTCCAACAACAACCCCCCCCCCCTTCCCACCAACCTAGCGCCTTTCTCGATTCAGGGCTGTGATTTGACCCCTCTACTCCCTCAATCAAAGCCCACCAAGTAAACTGACATCGGTTTCATTACCGCCAGACACTACCTTGGGGCGCATCCATCGTCCTATGTGTTGTGTACCAGCCTGGTACAGTCAGCCGGCTGCTCACCAGCGTCAACGCCAGTTTGCGGCTGCAGAGTGCCTCTTCCTCGACTGCACGACGATCGATCGATGCTTACCGATTCCGTTCACATTACTACTTTTCGCTACCTTTGAAAACAAGTAAAAATAATGTCTTCCTCGACCCCGAGATACCACGTCTGCGCCACATGCGGGCGGCAGTACCAGCGAAGCTCCCACCTGCGAAGACACGAAGCTACACGTAAGCTCAGCAAACGCCCGCCTCTGCAGACGCGGTCATCTGTCCCAGGCTCATGCCGGAAACCAGATTCAAGTCCCAATAGGTTCAAGTGTTGTTTCTGTGGGAAAGAGTTCTCTAGAAGGTTTCGAGAAACAACGCCGAGCTTTTCTCCCGTTCAAGAGTCGTGTCACTGACCAGACAACAGCGATGTCTGCAAGAAGCACTGCTTAGCATGCCCAAGGAAGGACGCCGTGGACGCTGCAGCTACGGCGAACCTGAACCATGATTCAGCAACTGATAAAGCGGTACCCGGTTCGATCGCAGGGAGTTCGCCATCTACACGCGTGTCCGACGCGGAACGCGACGCCGTCATACACCAGGGGATGCCGTTTCTGCGGCAAATCTGCAATCCTCACGCCGTCACCATGCAGCACTACCTCAACGTCGCCAACAACGACGGCTCGTTCAACGAAAGCGTCCCCGACTCCGCTGAAGCCCCGGACGCGCGCCCCGGCCCGTCGCCGCAGGACATCAGCGACGTCCTCGCACTGCTACCCCCGTACCACACCGCCATCCTCGACCAGGCCATTAGCGCCCTCGTACCGCACGAGGATTTTACCGCGTTGTCCCTATCTGCCTCGTCTCCGATCCCCGCGTTGACGGATGCGGGCTACGAGGTCCTGGCCGCCAAGGCAGTCTCGATCGTAGCTGGCCTGCGGACGCTACACGACCAGCTGCTGATCGGCGACACGACGTTCAGCGGACCCCATGACATTGACGAAGTCGCCGAGGTCTTCTGCGCGGACAAGATCAGGTTCTTCGCAGCTGCCTTCTTTCGCCTGACGCACGTGCACTTTCCGCTGGTGCACTGCGCGACCTTTGGCGTGCCGGACACCTCGGCCTTTCTGATCCTCGCCGTCGTGGTATTCGGTGCCTCGCGCTGTGCTGCCTCCCAACACACCATCCAAGCCAAATCGCTCACAGGTCTCGCCGAAGAGTACATCTTCCGCGAGGTCGAGTCGTTCAACGACGGCGCGGCGCACCAACTCACCCTGTCGCAGCTTCAGACCATCCAGGCCGCAGTCGCCATGACCAACCTGATGATGAACCACAACGACTGGTCACTCCGCGAACGGGCGCGCTTGAAGAGGCTGCCGACGCTAATATTCTCGATTCGCCGGTTCCAGCTGACCACGGCGATCAGCAAGCCGACCTTGGACTGGCACCAATTTATTCTTGGCGAGACCGCTGCTCGGTGAGTTCCAACGGTGGCTTGCGGGATACGGAACCCTGGCTGATTGTGATGAATGTCTAGCATCGCCACCTTGACAGCGGTGATCGATTGGAACCAGGCGCGCATGTTCTACTGCCCGCCGGGCTTGTCAGTCGCCGAGATGAGGTGCAGCCTTCCCTGTCATCGCGAGATCTGGGAAGCCCCGAACGCTGCCGCGTGGATGGTCGCCAATGAAGCCGTCGATCAGGCCCGCCGCGCATCGGCCGCGACGCCATATACGTCCATCTCAGTGCTCATCGCTGCGCTCGTGGCTGATCGCTGGTCCGTCGACGCGCAGACGAGTCATCTGAACCTGACCCTGGAGTCTCTCAGTGCAGTGAGTTACGGTATGACTTAGCCCTTCCCTTCTTCAGCACAATGGTTCTGATGAAGCCGGCACAGCTATGACGGCGTTGACCGTGTCTGCATGCCAGATGCTTGTCCTGCAAGGGGCACACTCCTCTATTCTGCGCGCGATTTCAAGATGGAGGGAGCTTTGGGATCACGTCACGCGCGACATGGATCCTGACGTTCTGCTCAAGGCAGGGCTGACGAGGCACTGTCACGAGAACTGCACGCTCGCCTGGCACATTGCCGAAGCATGGCTTGCTGACCCTACGCATGCCTACTTCCAGACTATCGGTCACCGCTCTCTCATTCCGATATCTACCTTTATCGAATCGTGTGAATACCAGAGAAATCGATGAGCGACTTCCATTTGGGATAAGGAGTCATCCTCAATGCTGCGCCGTAGCAAAGGAGGGCGACTGCGAGAGAAACTTGCTTGATTATTGCATCAAAGCTCTTTTGCTTGGTTCACCAGTGGAGTGGCTTGACGTCTCATCTATTATTTATTTGCTCGCTCGTTTCCCTTCCCGCTTGCCTCCCACCAAGTCTAAATCTAGAGCTCTTGGTCGCGCGCTGCAGCGCAGTTGGCGTCAACATCAGCGCATCGAACCGCCTCGACGGCCGGATCCTGGATTTTATTCTCGTCGTTGTAGAAGTCGACGTGCTTCACGCCACTATCGCATTGACGGTCGCTAAGCGAAAACATTACTACTAAATCTTTCTACCAATGCAGGCAGGCGAAGGCTTACTAGTAGAGGGTGCATTCCTGGAATAAGGTGACGGAAATGGAGCGGACGGCGCCGGTCCTGGCAGAATGTCAGATCAACCCATCCATAGGGTTCGCGGATCAGATTACTCACAAAGGCTTCCGAAGTCGGATGCAGTTTGATGATCGGATCTTGAACGAGATTCCGCCGCCGTTCTCTTCGGTGTAAAGGATGCCCTGCTTAGTATCAGTGCTGGTCAGCTGAGGCAGTGCCGTCCTTCCTACCCTGACGTTGTCGTCGGCGGCAGCGACCAAGGACAAAGATCCCACGATGAGGGCAATTGCGTTGGAGATGTGCATCGTGGCGATGTATAATCTGTGAATGAGGAATGACGGTGGCAGTGGTGAGGGATCGCGAGAGATCAGGCCGGGACGCAGGATATTAAGGGGCAGTTGGATTGTTAATCGTGGTCTTTAATGTACGAAGGAACCTGCACCAAGGGAGCTGGAGACCAATGTCTCAACGCCGTGCGCCATGACTGAGACCTTGTTTCGAGCCTACATTCCTCCTCTAGATTTGACGGTTCATGCTGCTTTGCAGGTAGAATTGTAGGCAGCCTTGAACCTTGGCAAGGTCAAATGCCGCCGCGTGACCAAACTACTACACAACTGTCGTAGATAGAGTTTCATAGCAACGATGACGGGGGTTACAAGAACAACTATCCTCCCACTAGTGCTGCCTCTGGCACATTTGTAGAGCGAGGCGTATTCAGTGCTGCAAATACCCGAGACATGCAGATGCAGATGCAGCTCCCGGGCCCGATCCGTCACCTTCAACCTAGCTGACAAGAGACAAGACGTGAAATACGGCGGCTTGCATTGAGACAACGAGCCGATGCTACTTTGGCATTTTTAACTACTAAGGGGGAGTGAATTGAATGTGGTACCTAATAAGGGTATTGATGGCTTAACCACCTGGTGAGACGCAAGAAAAAACGCCACTCGACAGTTTTGTCCTGCAAACTCATCCAAGGCGAATGCAAGCTTACGCGAGAGGGCTTGTACTATAACTTGGAAGGAAGAACGGACGACGCGGAGACTATAACAACAACAGGTTACTATTACTGCTGAATACTACCAGAGGTGGCAGGCCACATGTCTTTGCCTGCCGCTCGACAACGTAGCACTCAAAGAAGCAAAAGTGTGAGGCGGATGCACTGCCTTGATCCGGTCATGGCAAGGGCGGGAGATGCGACGAAACGGTGTGGGCGAGGAGCGCAGCCCGGGTGTCTTACATGGGCAAGTAGGCTTCCTTCGTATTAGAGGGCGATTTGGGCCCCTCTCATTCAAACTCGTCCTCCTGGGGCGAAGCACAGAGCAAACGGCGAAGAGGCTCTGGAGTCGCACATGCAGAAGCAAGCATGGGAATCTATGGCTCTGCGGCTCAACGACGACACCTATTCAGCACAGCTACGATCCGAGGCGGAGGCTGTCTGTCTTGGCAGTGAGGGCCGTGTGATCTGCGGGGATCCCCGCCCAGAAAATCTGTTTAGCGTAGACTAAACAGACCAAACCAGCGATCAGTTTTAGCAGCCTATAGGTGAGTTGCGGCTAAAACTCAGTTCACCCCTCGTGTGGAGCTAGATACGTAATAGTGTATAAGTAAGTAGGTAGGTTTACTATTTAAATATATAACATCCTTATAGTAGCACGTGGTGGAGTAAGGAGGTGGATGGGACGGTTAGGGAAGCGCGGTAGGATTTGGTAGACAGTAATGTGGACGAACTACGAAACAGACTGGGCAGCCGCAAGAGCTTCAGCCGCGCGCTAGGACCGAACTATAGCCGGATTAAGGAGATAGAGCTAGTGTAATCACCTTAAATAAGGTAGGTATACTCTAGTTAGAGTGTAGAGGAAATTTAGGTGGGTAAAGTAGTATATAACTAGAGGGGCGCGCCGCCTAGGGTGGTTCTACTACTAGACTATACTAGTGCTCTCTTAGTGACTCTTAGAGAAGAGAAGGTAGAGGTACTATTATAAAGTTCTTCCCCCCCCTCCCCCCCCCCGCCCTACTAGGAGGGGTATAACTACTAAACAAACTCTACTTTACGCCTAGCCTATAGAATAAGTAGGCCATACTTAAACCTATTATAGAGGAAGAAGTCTAAACTACCCTCTAAGACTATACCTCCTAGAATACTCTAAGGCCTAATAGACTATTATATAGATTCTTAAAAACCTTTAGTCTACTCTATATTAAGACTATTATAAAAATATAAACTACTTACTTAGAGACTAGGTACTTCTTAGTCTAGTACTAGGTAGGGGTTATAGTAGTACTCTAAAAAGTAGAGAAGACCCCTATAGAATTATATAGTATAAAGGGATAGTAACTAATAACCTTATTTAATATAATAAGAAAGCTCTTTAAGAAGGTCTTAGTAGATAAGTATAATAGTAGTTTAATTCTAATCTATAGTTAGTTTATTTTTTAAGAAGAGAGTTAGTTTAAATATATAGAGTATTAATAAATAGTTATTATTATATAAATTATATTAGAAAATATCTCTTAATAGTAGAACTATTATTTAGATTAATTAGTAAAGATTTAATCTAGCTATCTACTAGAAATCCTTTTTTTTATATACTTATTCTCTCTTTTTACTATAATACTTAAATTATTATAGTTTATTTATAAGTCTAATAATTCTAGATTAGTACTAGATTATTATAATCCTTACTAATTTAGTTATATAATTAGTTTTTTTATTCTTATACCTCTCTAAGCACTCTATAGTTACTTACTAGACCGCCCTACCCCTTATCTATATGTGACAAACGAATAGGAAGACGGAAGGAGCGGCCCGTTATGCAGCCGCAGGGAAGCCTGTGACACCTGAGGGAGCTGTGAGGCTCCCTAGGGTACGAAGGTACAAGGACACGAGATCACGTGATTGGATCAGGAGGGATCGAACTGATCCAAGTGGACTCGTCGGACGGGCTCAGTCTGATCCAGCCTGAGTGAGGATCAGATGGGATCAGTATGATCCAAGAGTACAGTAGAGGATAGATGGATATATAAGGAAGGGGATTTCCTAGATAGACAGCTAGATCTCTACTGATCAATCTAAGCAATAGTTCTACTATTGGGAGTAATCTCCTAAACGTGACTCAAGCTACGATACTGCTCATCTGCACCTGTGGTGCATTCAACCTGACTCACTTCCTAAGAAACAGATTTACTGTGGATTAGAGAAGAGCCACCGTTACACTATAGTACTTTAGTGTATTTATAATAAAAGAGTCTTCTTTCCTCTTTATACTACTTAGACTATAATTTCTACTATAGGGTACTTATAGACTAGTCCTAGTTTACCTACTTATAATAATAGTTTAATCCTAATCTATAGTTAGTCTATTTCTTAGATAGAGAGTTAGTTTAAATATATAAGTGTATATAAGTAGTTATTATAGTGTAAGTTATATTAGGAGATATCTCCTAATAGTAGAACTATTACTTAGATTAATTAGTAGAGATCTAGTCTAGCTATCTACTAGAAATCCCCTTCCTTATATATCCATTTTAAGTACCTATTTATCCCTCTATTATAACTCTAGATTAGAAGGCTTAACCTTTAATCCCTTAGATCCTATACTTAGTTTAATAACTTAATAGCTTAATCCTAAGGAGGTTATATAATCTCCTATTATATAAATTATATAATCTCCTATCCTTTTAGTAGCTAGTATAATAAGCCTTTACCTACCTCTCTTAGCCCTACCTATACGTTTTATAGTATTTATAATATAATACTCCTCCCCTAGTAGTCTTATCCTTAAGGCTATTAAAATAGGCCACCTAAGTAGTAGGTAGTTTTCCCTCTTATATTATTATAGTCTATTATATTTACTAATTATATTATTAAGTAGAGATTAAAATTATATTCTTAAAAGTCTAAGTAGTATAAGGCTTTATTATACTCTATCCTTTCTAATCCTTAGGCTATAGAAAAGGGTCCTTACTCTTACTACTAGAAGAAGGGTACTACTTTTTACTAACTATTATCCTCTAACTCCTTTTACTATACTTAGTGTATAATAGATTATTAATTCTACTATAATATATAAGGTATTTTATTAGTCTAGCTTTATTAAATAACTAATTACTATATACACTTTAAGTAAGAGTTTAAAATAACTAAAAAGGAATATTATATAATAAATACTAAGACTAAGTGTCTTTAAAAATAAAAGAAATTATAGTTTAAGAAAATAATATATACTATTATATATAGTATTAATAATATTAAGGAGTTAGAGTGTATAGAATAGGAGGAAGTAGAATAGCTTTAAAAGACTATAAGTACCTTTCTTACTTTATCTAAGGAGTTAGATCCTTCTTTAGTTTATTCCTTTAAGGCTAAGTTTAGTATAGAGTCCTTTAATAGTCTTAATAGTCCTTATAGGATTAACTAGACTATTTTTCTTTAAAGTAAAACTAACTAAGTAGTTTTAAGTAATTAGATAGGTTCTTAAGTGGTTCTTATATATTTTTAGAGCTTAAGTATCCTTTCTATTTAATAAAATAATAATAATTCTTTTTAATTCTTTATACTTTAAGTATTTTCTCTACTTTATATTTATTTATATCTTTAATAGTAATATCTATAGTAAGTATTATATTATTTAGTACTTTCTCTAGTAGTACTTTCTTTAGTAATAATATATAAAATATAGAATATATTTTTATCCCTTCTAATAATAATAGTTTATAATTAACTTTTAATAGTTTTTATTTAATAAGGAATAGTTTAATTTTCTTCTAGTTAAGTTTATTATTAAGTTATTTTATTTTAATGTTTTTATAAATAAAATAAACTTTATCTCCCCTTTTTAGGATTAATACTAGTAATCTCTTTTTATCTATATAATATTTTATTTAATTCTATAAAAATATCTATTCTACTTATAAGTGTTTTTATATTTCTATAATTATTACTATATATACTATAGCTACTAGTGTGTTTATATTCTATATTATATATATTTTAATTATAGGGTTATATTTATAATTTACTTTAAAAGGTAATATTTTTATATTTTTATTTTCTAAGCTATTTATAGTCTATTATATAAGTAGTAACTATTCTACTTAGTTATTTTATTAGTAGTTTATATAACTTTATAAGTACTATTTAAGTATTTAATTCTAGATTTTAGTTTATCTATCTATTTATAAGTAGAATACTATTAAAAGGTTTTACTTAACTTTTATAATTTCTATAAGACATTTCTAGAAGTTTAATATAAAGAGCTTATCTTAATCTATTATTATTAGCTTTATAAGTAACCTATATTAT